ACGAGGTACCATGCGGTGAGACAATCTATCTACCTGCTGGAGCCAAATCTTGTTAACATGGATTACAACGGAACGAAAGATCCAGAGTCAGTGTTCAAAACAATGCACGCTAACCGGGGACAATTTTACTGAAATATTACACGTACCCCCGTGTTGAGACCAACACTGTGTTCATGTTAGCTGAGAGTTCGTGTTAATGGGCTTTCACTGTATATTACTGGGAGACTAGATCGGGAAACAGAAGCAAGATGTTAAGGAGCCAGTGCACTTATATACCAACAGAAACCGTTATTAAAACATCCAGACATATGTGTGAACGCCAAGAAACAAATGATAAACAACGTATACCAACACGGTGCTATCTGCGCCAGACTTGGACATTATCAAATTTAATACAGTTTCCTCATGTTGTGGCGACCATTTAATACAGTTACCTCATGTTGTGGCGACCATTTAATACAGTTACCTCATGTTGTGGCGACCATTTAATACAGTTACCTCATGTTGTGGCGACCATTTAATACAGTTCCTTCATGTTATGGCGACCCTTTAATACAGTTTCCTCATGTTGTGGCGACCATTTAATACAGTTCCTTCATGTTGTGGCGACCATTTAATACAGTTACCTCATGTTGTGGCGACCATTTAATACAGTTCCTTCATGTTTTGGCGACCATTTAATACAGTTTCTTCATGTTATGGCGACCCTTTATTACAGTTTCCTCATGTTGTGGCGACCCTTTAATACAGTTTCCTCATGTTGTGGCGACCCTTTAATACAGTTTCCTCATGTTGTGGCGACCCTTTAATACAGTTTCCTTATGTTGTAGCGACCCTTTAATACAGTTTCCTCATGTTGTGGCGACCCTTTAATACAGTTTCCTCATGTTGTGGCGACCCTTCAATACAGTTCCTTCATGTTGTGCGACCCTTTAATACAGTTTCCTCATGTTGTGGCGACCCTTTAATACAGTTTCCTCATGTTGTGGCGACCATTTAATACAGTTCCCTCATGTTGTGGCGACCCTTTAATACAGTTCCTTCATGTTGTGCGACCCTTTAATACAGTTCCTTCATGTTGTGGCGAACCCAGACAATTTCTTTTTCTTCACAACTTAAATGGATATGTGTTTTCCGATGCACTTAGGCGACCCCTGTGAAAGGGGCGTTCGACCCCCCCCCCCCAAAGGTGGACAGGCAAGACAACCAACATTTCTGGACAAGTCTTTTTCTTCTTCTTCTTCTTCTTCTTCTTCTTCTTCTTCTTCTTCTTCTTCTTCTTCTTCTTCTTCTTCTTCTCCTCCTCCTCCTCCTCCTTCTTCTTCTCCTCCTTCTTCTTCTTCTTCTCCTCATCCTTCTTCTTTTTTTCCTCCTCCTTCTTCTTCTCCTTCCTCCTCTCTTCTCCTTCTTCTTCCTCCTCCTCCCTTTTCCGCCTCTTTTCCCTAATCCTGGAATGCTTCGCGACGTCAGGACAGAAAGAGATCTCTGCAACTGGCCCGTTTGTTCACATCGTTTGTATTACTTTTCAACGTCTGCAATATTTCTGAGGTCCATTTTTGCCTGGTCGTTCTCTAGCTCTTTTACCGTTGTATATGTATAACAGTGATCTATATATAGTGCCTTGTCTGTTGCCAGTCTTGTTACATGTCCGAACCATTTGATCTGTTGTCCACCGATAAAGTTTACTATTGGTTATGTGCCGACTCTCCTCCTGATATATTCTATTGTTATACATAGGACGATACGTAAACATTTCCTTTCGGTCATATATTTCTTCTGTCTTCTGATGACAATGTCCATGTTTGGCACTGATAACATAGCGTTAGTAAGAATATTGTGTTAAACATAGCTTTTTTAGTGTTCACATTCACATTCTGGGGAAGGACTGTGGAGAAGGGCGAGGAGAAAAACAACAAGCTAGCCCACTTTATCAACTTCAGCCTTCAATAACTTCAGTCCTAACACTGAAGCTCCCGGTGACTACGCTGACAACAACATAGAAGAGACAAGTTGTTGCTGAAGGCAATCAAGTCTGATCAATCTTCCGAGGGCCAGCAAGAAGGTAAACACTGAAGAACACAGTGCCAGAGGGAGTCAGAAGTAACCGATACATGTTAGCCAGCTATGTGTAGACGTCCGGATTCAGTACAGTGGTTTGGAAAGGGAGGGGCGGGCTGCTGCACAAGACTGGACTATTTGACGAAAGTCTCCCCTAAAAGGCGCAGCGAGTTGTAAGGCATCTAGAAAAAAGAGCAGCTGAACAGCGAAGACAAGCTAGAGAGAGAGAGAGAGAGAGAGAGAGAGAGCTGTAAAACAGGCCCTTTATCTAGAGACACTATTTCCGGAACTCGCTGATCTAGATTCTTCCTCACATTATGTACAGGGGGACCAACATACAGATTACACCACATACAGGGGACACAATATACAGATTACATCATTTACAGGGGGCACAACATACAGATTACACCATATACAGGGGACACAATATACAGATTACATCATTTACAGGGGGCACAACATACAGATTACATCATTTACAGGGGACACAATATACAGATTACATCATTTACAGGGGACACAATATACAGATTACATCATTTACAGGGGACACAACATACAGATTACACCATATACAGGGGACACAATATACAGATTACATCATTTACAGGGGGCCCAACATACAGATTACATCATTTACAGGGGACACAACATACAGATTACATCATTTACAGGGATCCCAACATACAGATTACACCACATACAGGGAGCCCAACATACAGATTACAACATGTACAGGGATCCCAACATACAGATTACACCACATACAGGGGGCCCAACATACAGATTACAACATGTACAGGGATCCCAACATACAGATTACAACATGTACAGGGGGCCCAACATACAGATTACACCATATACATGGGACACAATATACAAATTACACCATATACAGGGGACACAACATACAGATTACAACATGTACAGGGGGCCCAACATACAGATTACAACATGTACAGGGGACACAACATACAGATTACAACATGTACAGGGGGCCCAACATACAGATTACAATATGTACAGGGGACACAACATACAGATTACAACATGTACAGGGGACACAACAGACAGATCACATTATGTACAGGGGACACAACATACAGATTACAACATGTACAGGGGACACAACATACAGATTACAACATGTACAGGGGGCCCAACATACAGATTACAACATGTACAGGGGACACAACAGACAGATCACATTATGTACAGGGGACACAACATACAGATTACAACATGTACTGGGGACACAACATACAAATTGCATCATGTACAGGGGATACAATATACAGATTACACCATATATAGGGGACACAATATACAGATTACACCATATACAGGAGACACAACATACATATTACATCATGTACAGGAGACACAACATACAGATTACAACACACACACATGGGACAATATAAACAGGTCAGAATAGTACTGAGGGCAAAATGTACATGGGGCACTGCGTACAAAGGACACTGGATACAGATAACAGAAAGCAAAGTATGGTAGAGGACATACAATATACATGATACAGCAGACAGTTTATACGTGGGAAAAACACAGTCCAGTTCAGAAAAGGAAACAGCACACATGGTACAGAGGAAACAGGACAGATGGCACAGAGGACATAGCACACAGCACACATGGCACGGAGGACACAGCACACGTGAGACAGAGGATATAACACACAGCACACATGGCAGAGAGGACATAGCACACAGCACACACAGCACAGAGGACATAGCACACATGGCACAGAGGATATAGCACACATGGCACAGAGGACATAGCACACAGCACACATGGCACGGAGGACACAGCACACGTGAGACAGAGGATATAACACACAGCACACATGGCAGAGAGGACATAGCACACAGCACACATGGCACAGAGGACATAGCACACATGGCACAGAGGATATAGCACACATGGCACAGAGGACATAGCACACAGCACACATGGCCCAGAGGATATAGCAAACAGCACACATGGCACAGAGGACATAGCACATATGGCACAGAGGACATAGCACACAGCACACATGGTCCAGAGGATATAGCACACATGGCCCACGGGACACAACACACATGGCACACAGGACACAACACACATGGCACATAGGACACATGGTACACAGGACACAACACACATGGCACATAGGACACAACACACATGGCACATAGGACACATGGCACACAGGACACAACACACATGGCACACAGGACACAACACACATGGCACATAGGACACAACACACATGGCACACAGGACACAACACACATGGCACACAGGACACAACACACATGGCACATAGGACACATGGCACACAGGACACAACACACATGGCACACAGGACACAACATACATGGCACATAGGACACATGGCACACATGGCACATAGGACACAGGACACAACACACATGGCACATAGGACACAACACACATGGCACATAGGACACATGGCACACAGAACACAACACACATGGCACATAGGACACAACACACATGGCACATAGGACACATGGCACACAGAACACAACACACATGGCACATAGGACACAACGCACATGGCACATAGGACACAACACACATGGCACATAGGACACAACACACATGGCACATAGGACACATGGTACACAGAACACAACACACATGGCACACAGGACACAACACACATGGCACATAGGACACAACACACATGGCACATAGGACACATGGTACACAGAACACAACACACATGGCACACAGGATACAACACACATGGCACACAGGACACAACACACATATGGCACAGAGACAGAGGACACTACAGACAAAAGATATGTGTGGGACACAGAGAGAGGACACTACACACATAAGACACACAGCACTAAGTAAACAAAGGACTTACCTGATGGAATGTCTCCTAGCTGACAGATGACTGTTTGTGGCTATGCAGAAGAATTGTCCGATGTGAAAGAGAAGTTAATTAGATCACTGGATATGGATGGGTGTACTAAAAATGGGTTTGTACATGGATTCTGCAGTCCAACCGCAAATGGGTTCGATCCGAGTGGTTCATAATCAATGTCAAATGGGTTTGTGCTGGGTGGACGCGGCACTGAAGCTGGTACCTCCTCTGCCAGTAGAGGTGGTAGTTGCTGCTGTTGTAGTGAATGCTGATGAAGAGGCAGATGATAAGGAAGAAAATCAGTGTGTGTGGTATTTAAGTCTGGTGCTGGTATTGGGTCAAAGATAGGAGATGACACATGATGTTCTGTTTTCTGCAGATCTAATAATCTGATTTCAGTTTCTAGTAGAGATGTATCACTACACTGGACATCTTCACGATTCTCAAGTGTACAATTGTCATCAGGCTTAGTAGGATAGTTTCTACCATTTAACGCAGGACTGTCATTATCATCATGTGCTAGAGACAAGACACCACGATCTCGCTGAAAGCCAGGTGCTTCTTGAGAAACAGCTCTAAAGTTATCAGCACTTGGACTCCGGTGTCCAGTCAACCAATCCGAGCAGATGGGAGACACGCTAGTGCTGTTTCCTGTCGACCTGATTTCAATTCCTATATGTTTTTCATGGCTTTCTGCTGAGTGATTGATCTCTATGGTAATAATCTCCTCTGATTCAATATCAGAGTCAATGGCTAGATGTGCCCCTTCAAGTGGGGTGACAGAAGTTGATGTACTGTTCAACAACCCTGAATAACCCAGCTGTGGAAAGTCTGCATCACTGTCTACAATGCTCTCATGAAAAAACTCAGAATATTTGGAAGTGTTCTCGTACCCAACATCAGGCTGGTCTGAATGAGTGGAAACAGTTTGTGCTCTAGCATCGAAGTCACCTTCTTCCTGATAGACTAGAAACTCCTTCAGGACATCCAGATGACCACTGCTTGCTGTGAATGGAACAGATTCAGCAAATAGACTGGCAGATTCCAGAGGAAAAGTTTCAGCAAACAGACCGTCTCCAGCTACAGCCGGAGTGGGCCAGTCTTCAGCAAGCAGTGCAGATCCACCAGCCTCAGCCTCATTTGTATCACAGACTGTACTGGTACTGGTGTCGTTGTCCTCAGTCTCATCCGTCTGGTAAATGTCTCTAAAATCTGCCCAATTGTCCTCTTCGCTTTCATCAACAGTTGTACCAAAAAATCTACGTGTGGCTTCGATTTCCTGAATCTCCTTCAGATACGGAGCATCTGGCGCTAGATCTTCGTAAAATGAGTCAGGAGTCAGCTTTGGGGAGGCAGAAAGTTTTGGAGATGTAGACGGTGTCAGATTGGGTGGGATCAGAACTCGACGTGGTGAAACTGGCAGCTGGCCATCATCAGCCACAACCAAGGCGGCCTTTGTGCGGCTGAACAGGAACTCTTCTGTGAACTCAAAGCAGGTGTCATCAATGTTGTGCTTCCTGGCACTAGGTAGTTTAGGGGTCTTTGGTTTGCAGGTAAACTCGTCTGTTGGGAGGGTGATCTTTAACTTATCCTGCACAATGAAAGCTGTTGCTGGTGTTGTGTCAGGTGAACTGATAACAGCATACTCATCTAAGGTCACAACATTGATTGGTGTTGTGCTGCGAGGACGAGCAATTGGTGAGGTTGTGACCTTTAACCTCTCAATGCGTCTTTCATATGCCTTACGTTTAGAAGGTGACAAGATCTGACTTGGATCAAAGTATTCCGGCACTAGATTGTCCACAGCGTCTTTTTTGGCATCTGCGTCTTCTACCTGGCCATCAGGTCCTGTCCTATCAAGTTGAGATGCCGATGAATTGGAAGGCTGGAATGTGAAAGCAGCACCGTTACAGGAGCCTGGGCTTGATGAGGACGAGTCCGAATCTTGTTTCTTCACAGGAACATGCACCCGGCCAATGGTTCCATGACCAGCTAGTGACGGTATAACTCGGCAGCCTTGTGCATCATTTTCACCGCTCCACTCTCTATCACTAAAAACTGGTTCAGTTTTCTGCAGTTCTTCTGGTTGTCCTCTATCTGACTGCTTTGCCTCTGCCCAGGACACTTCAGTAACTGTACCGTGAGCCAGGAATGACCCTTGAACATTCTCATCCACGACACAACCTACCCTGTCCTTGGCTCGTTCATCTCCACCCTCCCTTTCTTCCCCGCCAGCTTGGGTCAGGGACTTCTTCGAACTACTGGCCCCTATGATTTCAGATTTCAGACCACCATCATAAATAAATAACTCTGGATGCTTGTATTCTGAAATCTGACAAGTGCGCTGGCTGTCTTCAGCTTTAACTGTCCTCTCTGTGCTGTCTGGCGGATGACTGTCTAGCTGATGACGTTCTGCCTGAACATCCTCGTCTCCAAGGTCAACAGTATCAAAAGTTGCAAGTGGAGCTTTGTCGATGTCTACTCTTCGAACAATTCTATATTTGACACTGATGGTTCTGTGCATAGTAAGGTCAGGCCTTTAGTTACCTGTGGACAGAAAGTAAAATTCATGTTTGCAGCAGAAGAATATCCATACTGTCTGTGAGACAGAAAACATCAGGTTAAATCAAGCACTAGCCGTGGGTAAGAGTCCAAATATCTAACAGTGAAATACATCACTGGAAAAAGATATATCATAAGAAAGAATAATGATATCCCAGATCACTTTAAATATCCCTAAAGATATGATTATCATAATTATTTAAAACAAATACTTTATATATATATATATATATATATATATATATATATATATATATATATATATATATATATATATATATATATATATATATATATATATATATATACTTGTGCAATCCGTTAAAATTAATATGGAATACATAATTTTTTTAAAAACAAATTAAACTGTCACCCATACAAATCCAATATCCAAAAAAAAGAAATCCCTAAAAGTAAGAAGTGTTCAGTAATGGATTAATGAAGTAATTTATTAACTGCCATTCAACCATGTACACAAAAGTGGGAATAACTTTATATTATTTGCCACATAGAACAAAATAATGAAAATTTAACTGTCACACATTATACAGTTAAACTTTAGTTTCTAGTAATTTCAGGAGATTTGCATGTATAAACAATACAATCACAGCTGGGGAATGGGAACAAGATTATTCAGTGCAACATGTTAAAGCTATCAACAGTTGTTACAGCTATGTACACACATGGACTTATCCTCAAAAAGAAAGAAAATCTACAAGTAAAAAGTCATAGAAACTATACTTGAGCGTATAAACTTGTGAAGCTAAATCACGCAAACACTTAACTCTTACAGAAACACACACGCACACACAAGTTCTCTGAGAGCAGTCACTGAGTGGAGTGGTAACTGTGAGTATATAGTTAGTCAACTGCCACAAAGCTGGAATGTCATCGATCAACAAGCGCACAATCCACCAAATGGATAAGATTTAATACATGAAATGCAACAGATATAATAAGTGATGAAACTAACAGCTGTCCAGTCTTACATTGCTGAGATAAGTCAGCGAGAAGAGTTGAGAATAGAAGCGTTTCGGCTCCATCGCTGCTGCTATGAATCCCCAGTCAAAGACGACTTGCCCCATCGATTTATTGATCGGCTCAAACTTACCGCAAACACAGAAGCACACGGCGCAGTCCGGGCTGGAGCCTGCAGTTAGAAGATACAACACGGGGGGAAGGAAATTTGACGATGGACTGTGATTCTCTCTCTCTCTCTCTCTCTTGCAGTGACGATCGATGGTTGGGTCGGATCTCCAGTCAGCGGCAGCAGCAGACGTCTCTCCCTGTCCCCTCCATGGATATTTACGGAAGTAACGTGATCCACAACAAGTGGTGACGTAGTGCGGCCTGTTGCTGGGAGACAATGTCAACTAATGGTTGACGGAATGTTGAACAACCAATGTTGGACTGTATTGAATTCGCTTTTGTTTAACTTGTAAAAAGTTCAAACAGTACCAGGTGATCTTATTTAAAGATGCAAAGATTATTATATAAGTGAAAAAGCTGTGTTACAAATTCGTGTTAATATATGTGTCTAATAGTTTTTATTAGCAGACTAAAATTGTGCCTCTCCTCCGAACTTCTACCCGATATTTTATTATGGTGGCCATAAAATATCCTTACGGGGTTCAGTCCTATAAAAAATATGCCGGCTCCGTATAACGAAACAAATGCTCTAACAGGGTCTCAGCGATATGGTAATTGCGAACATGTTTCTGTGACTATGCCTCACCGCCGACCGTATCCCACGCGGATGGGGGAGGGGGGGGGGGTCTAAACTAGGTGCCTGGGACTCATAAGCAAATTAATTGGAGGAAGCTGCAGGAGATTCGGTAGCGGCTCGGGGGATACGGTCGGCGGTGAGGCATAGTCAGAGAAACAGGTCCCAATTACCATATCGCTGAGACCCTGTTAGAGCATTTGTTTCGTTATACAGAGCTGGCATATTTTTTCAATAGGACTGAGCCCTGTAAGGATATTTTATGGCCGCCATAATTTCGGGTAGAAGTTAGGAGGAGAGCCAAAATTGGCATTAAAAAAAAAAGTAAAACGTCAAGTCGTTATGCTTAATTTTAAGTATAACCATTAACAAAGTTTGGTATTCACTTATATATAATGATAAACATTACAAGGTAACGTGACATGGCAGCTTACTTTTACATATATAAAAGATGACAATACCGACAATAATGTATAGATAAAGAAGATGAGGGCTTATTGTGCCGCACACAGAAAACTAATTATATTTTTGTTGTTGTTGCGATAGTTGTATGGTTACAGAAAAATATTAATTACACCCGGCAGCTCACTTGAGTGTATGTATATACACATATATATGTAAGTGTATGCAAACACGTATACATGTACATATGCGTACATTTACACATGGACCTGCCGACACATATGTTATGTGTGTGTGTATATATATATATATATATATATGTGTGTGTATGTAACTGTACATGCATGTCTATATACGTGTGTGTGAGTGTATAGTGCATACCAGCCCCCTCCCACAACAACCCTCACCAGGTACTAGAGTACCACTCCAAGTCACTGGTGCAGCTAACAAAGAAATCGGATCATACTTTTAACTGATACTGCTGGCAGTAGGTTGAACATGGTAGATTTTTTGTTTTGTTTTTTATAAAGGGATGGAAGAAATTACTCATGTAAAGTCAAAAGTGTTTAGAGATATTTAGTGTATGGCAAGTTCCAAAATAATCAAATACCGAGGATCTAGAAACCTGTGAGTAAAAAGAGGTTTGTTGATAGAGTGAGAGAGAGAGAGAGAGACAGACAGACAGACAGAAAGAGAGAGACAGAGAATGAGAAAGTGACAATTGACATTTTTTTTTCAAAGACATTTAAAGAATTACTGAAGCTCCATCTGCTGACACATATACTAATGTTACCTTAAAAGTTTAGTGTCTTAAGACACACTTTTGATGGTCAAGTGAAAAAAAAAAAATTATTTATTGTACGTCATTATAAACTCTGTACAGTTATTTATGAAGAGTGCAGACTGTTGTTGTGTACATATAATATATAGCTATATGTAATACAAAAATTACTTTTGTACAGAAACCTTGTCAATTTTGAAATCTCCTGAAAGCTTCTTGAAAATGTATGCCTGAGACTGGTTACAGTATTGAAACAAATTCTTGTAAGAAACTACAAGAGCACCATCTTTAAATTGCCTAATTATTGGATAAAATGTCAGCAAGAAGACCCCGTTCAAAAGGGAAACGACAAGATTCTGAGAAAAAAGTGGTTAAGCAAGAAGAGACAGAAGATCCAGTAATTACTGAACTTAAGGCCACAAACGAATCTTTGAAAAGTCAAAATGAAGCTCTGCAAGAAACTGTAAATCATTATCATAACAAGCTGCATGCAGTTATTCAGCATATCTTGAATAACAATCTGGACAACTATGAACCTGCTGCGGACACATCGCTCATCAACATCCCGGAGTCAGACGTGACAAGGCTAATCACCAGCTTGAACATTGCAGCGACATCCATGTTTCAACTTTACCAGGGCAGACTAGAGCACCTGCAGGAACAACTAGCACAGCTGAACTCTGAACTGGTGAAGGTGCTGGCCTTGAAAGTGAACACCGAAAGAGGACTACACAACATGCAGAAACTGGGCACCGTAGATGACCTCAAGGTGGCTGCCAAGAGATTGTGGTACAATAACTGTAAGTACATGTATTCCTCATTTACTAAGTCTACCACTTACTTGATTAGCATGGACAGGTCATCATTCTACATCTCAGGACAGGGCTGTGCTAGGTGTAGAAAGAAAATATTGACTTAGGAACGATGATATCAGGAGGAGAATCGGCACAGAACCATTACTGAACTTTATATGTAGACAACAAGTCAAATTGTTTGGCCATGTAACAAGATTGGCAGCAGACAGGGCACCACAGAGAGCAGTGTAATGCAGATACAGCGGCAACAGATACAGAGGTCGACCACGCAGAATACGGACCGCAGAAATATCAGAGACACTGAGAAGTACTTTATATGAAGCAAACAGAAGGGCCCATTCCAGAAATCTCCTTCTGTCCTGACGTGCAAGGCATTCCAGGAGTAGAAAGATGGAGAAGCAGAAGGAGGAGGACAGGGCATAACAAACTTAACAAGCATATGCACAGGCTTCTTCTAAATAGTTTATCATTGTGCCTGTGAAGGTTGTGTGTGCAAACTGCAGAACATGACCTGCAAGACTGTCCCTTGTACAGCCAGTTAAGAGGAATACTGGCCCAATGAAACAATGCCATACCCAAAGCTGCAAGGAACTAAAAATGAAATCCTAAAAAGTCATTTATCACAGGAACAAATCTCAGTGTAAATCAGTCAGTGATCACAGGAACAAATCTCGGTGTAAATCAGTCAGTGATCACAGGAACAAATCTCAATGTAAATCAGTCAGTGATCACAGGAACAAATCTCAGTGTAAATCAGTCAGTGATCACAGGAACAAATCTCGGTGTAAATCAGTCAGTGATCACAGGAAGTAAAGGCCTCAAGTTTCATCCTGTTTTGTTTCGTCAGTCATGTTTTTTATATCTCACACAATCACCAAAGGCGCAGATCATGTCTATGTTCTTGTTCGAGAAAAAAAAAAGGACTGTCAGGTAAACTATATGAGCAGTTGACAGTCTTCTTCTATTTCAGTGAGCAATATTATCTTGATTATGACAGATGTAGCAATATAAAAATAAAAATAAACACTCACATCACACAGTAAACAAGTTCTTATTTTACTAAACAACTGACACCACTGCATTCTAAACAAATGAAAAGTTGTTCAGTGTCTTCCAGAAGAAAACAAAGTCGACTGTCTCTAATGCAAATGGTTTTCAAACAAGTAGTATCTGTGCTGCACTGTGGATAAGATTGGCACTTCACCATGTAATAATATTCCCACAGACAGCAGTGGCCGTACTGTAGTCAACCTTCATTGTGAAGACAGTACAGAATTGTATTTTATTATTTCTTGCAAAAGTTGCCCAATCTAACTCTAAAGTTGCATACTCAGTTTTGCACTCTATCAGTTTATAATGTGAAACAGACAAGACACACAAACAGCTAGACAGATTGATGGATAGTTAAACAGACAGAGGGATGGGCGGATGGATGGAGGACACCAATAGAAGGTGGTAACACAAACTGCTTGTTAGAAATTATCGCGTGAACATGTTTGAATGATACTCTTCCCCAGACAGCACACATCTTTGTGTACCACCTGACCTCCCTAGCCAGGAGACAGCTGCCTTCACACAATTGCCAAAAAGTGCTGTGGTCTCTCGTCCTGCGTCTGCTGCAGTCGGACAGGGCCAGGCTTTAGAAACGGTACAAGAAGCCATACCTGCCATGTATCTCAGTGTTTTAAACCCAAAAACTCGGAGTATCACCATAACACCTGGCGATGTGGAAGAACCTATGCAGCCAGTAAGCAAATGTTTTGTAATTGTATTGTTTATCTGGGGAATTACTGCAACTAGTGCTAGGATCGTTTTCCATGCCATGTCGTGGATCAGGAATAAAAAAAAAACACATTTTCGTCCTCCATAACTGTGGTCTGTAGGACTGACATCTCAAGGATGAGAATAAAAGAGGAGCACATCTTAGAAACCCTCTTTAACAATGTAAGGGTTATATTAGGACACACTATGTTAGAGGAGCGGCTGCTCAAAGGTTAAGAACTGTGACAGAGAAACAGCTGCTTAAAGGTTAAGAATTGTGACAGAGAAACAGCTGCTTAAAGGTTAAGAATTGTGACAGAGAAACAGCTGCTTAAAGTTTAAGAATTGTGACAGAGAAACAGCTGCTTAAAGTTTAAGAATTGTGACAGAGGAGCGGCTGCTTAAAGTTTAAGAATTGTGACAGAGGAGCGGCTGCTTAAAGGTTAAGAATTGTGACAGAGAAACAGCTGCTTAAAGGTTAAGAATTGTGACAGAGAAACAGCTGCTTAAAGGTTAAGAATTGTGACAGAGAAACAGCTGCTTAAAGGTTAAGAATTGTGACAGAGAAACAGCTGCTTAAAGTTTAAGAATTGTGACAGAGGAGCGGCTGCTTAAAGGTTAAGAACCGTGACAGAGGAGCAGCTGCTCAAATGTTAAGAACTGTGAAGGAGGCGCGGCTGCTCAAAGGTTGAGAACTGTGACAGAGGAGCGGCTGCTTAAAGGTTAAGAACCATGACAGAGGAGCAGCTGCTCAAATGTTAAGAACTGTGACAGAGGAGCGGCTGCTCAAAGGTTGAGAACTGTGACAGAGGAGCAGCTTCTCAAATGTTAAGAACTGTGACAGAGGAGCGGCTGCTCAAAGGTTGAGAACTGTGACAGAGGAGCGGCTGCTCAAAGGTTAAGAACACTGGGCTGTCATGCCAGAGACGCACATCCAAAAATCTCAGTAAGGTTATAGATATTTTATCTGCTGATAGCAAAAAAAAAAAGAAAAAATCCTAACCTTTACCATCTTTGGAAATTGCACTAGCCATGTGGCCCTAAATCCACATGCTCAAATGGAAGAAATGACCGTTTTTAAATGTTACAAAGTAACCTGCAGTTCAGTGTGAGTGGGTGTGTGGGTGTGGTTTCTTTTGATGAATCAGGAAAATGATCCTAGACTTCAGTGGATAAATCAATGAGTCATGTGATCAACATTTTGGACTATAACAAGATCTTACTCGTGTTTACCGGCTGTAAACTCTAGTGGAAAATTCTGGTTGTTTATCCACTTCTGGGCTTTGGTCTTGTTACAGAACTTGAGTGGTCTGTGCTCATCAGTTTTACAGATCTGGCTTATTTGTATGCAGACTTTTGGTTTCTTTCCTCCTAGGCAGATGCACTCTGACTTTGAAAGAAATACTGCTAGTCTACTTTTATGAGACACTTGTTAGCGAGGCAGAAGGTCAAGTCCTTTCCCCCTCCCCTAAACAGGGAACGAGAACCCACACAAGGAAGGTAATCTTATCAAACGCTGATATATTCTTAACAATATTGTATATTTTTGTGAAATAATTTCGTTCTTTCAGATTTTAGTGTTACTTTATGACCAACACAGCAGAAACCGGTTATTTGAAGTATTTAATACAACAGTTATGAATTTCCCCAACAGCCGGAACAGAAAATGGCGGGTGAGACACACATTTTCCACATGCACGTAGGTCTACGAAGCTTAGTCATCAGAGAGTTGAGCCAACAGAAAGGCAATGGTAAATATGTGGTCTGTCTTCTGTGTTGACTGATGTCTGTCTTCTGTGTTGACTGATGTCTGTCTTCTGTGTTGACTGATGTCTGTCTTCTGTGTTGACTGATGTCTGTATTCTGTGTTGACTGATGTCTGTCTTCTGTGTTGACTGATGTCTGTCTTCTGTGTTGACTGATGTCTGTCTTCTGTGTTGACTGATGTCTGTATTCTGTGTTGACTGATTTCTTGCTCTGTTTCATTGCTAGAGTTACACAATCTAGAATTTGTGAACTCCTGCCATAGACAGCTGTTACATTGACCTTTCTGTCCTGGATGGTTACTTTACCCCATTCTGTCCTAGATGGTTACTTTACCCCATTCTGTCCTAGATGGTTACTTTACCCCATTCTGTCCTAGATGGTTACTTTACCCCATTCTGTCCTAGATGGTTACTTTACCCCATTCTGTCCTAGATGGTTACTTTACCCCATTCTGTCCTAGATGGTTACTTTACCCCATTCTGTCCTAGATGGTTACTTTACCCCATTCTGTCCTAGATGGTTACTTTACCCCATTCTGTCATAGATGGTTACTTTACCCCATTCTGTCCTAGATGGTTACTTTACCGCATTCTGTCATAGACCGTTACTTTACCACATTTTGTTCTAGACGGTTACTTAACTCTTGGAGTCTCAAGGAGCGCATCATACGTTCATAGATTCCTGCCTAGAGGCCCAATGAATGCATGATGCGCCAATTTTACATCTCTCTTGACTACCCCTTGGGCCTGTGATGGTAAACCCCCTGGGACTCAAAGAGTTAAAGTCTTTCTGTCCTAGATGGTTACATTAACTTTCCTATGTATTGTTTTCAGTCATTTTTTATCATTCAAAACACTTTCCTACCACAACCGCAATGATATTAACTTTTTCAGTTGCTAACTTTTCCACTCTCAGAGAGTTGTGAGTTATGAACTCCTTCTGACATTGGAAAACATGAAAGTTATGTGTTCTTTGTCTGCTGCTCCTCACCCCAAGTTCATGCTTGGTGTAGACTTGTGCTTGATTTGTTGAGTTTTGCAGCTACAACCCCCCATCCCACTTCCTTGCACACCTGTACTCTGGCACAGATACTTGCATGAGATTCAACCACTGTTTTCAGAGCCAGCCGGTCTCTATCTCCCTGAGCATACTCATTGGGTCACTGAGAAAACATGCACATGAAAAGGTCTGTGTCTGCAGCCATGTTATTGCTTTGGTTGCTAAAATGACCTCCGTGGTCAGTCTATTTGTAGTCAAGGCAACAGCGTCAGAATCTTGCATCCCAATTCTAACTCCACCCTGAACTGTGGATGCCCATAAGCTTCTCATGTGGTGAACCACAGATCCATCTGTGTACATGACAGTGTCGCCCTCTACGGAATTATCGAAGTGGCCGAACTTTGTTGTCTGTATTATGTCTAGTCCAGGGGTTCTCAACCAATGGGTTGCGACCCTTTTGTGGGTCGAATGAACAGGGGTCGCCTAAGACCATTGAAAAGCACATTTTCACTGAAGTGGCAATGAGAAGAGATTTTCTCTTTAGACATGGTGGCATAGAAAATAGTGCAGCCACCTGGCAGGTCTGTGACCCAGGTTCAACCCCAGCCATTAAATGTTTATATTTCTCACCAGAAGAACATCATCATCATCCATCAGCAGATCCTCCACAGAGCATCTCTCTCGTCACGGCAAGCCTGAAAGTTGCTTTTTCCACTGGCTCAATTCTCCAGCCCTATGTGCTTTTGTAGCCAATGCATTTTTAGTGTCTTGTATTCACCTGTGTGGAAGTTTGCCCCTGCCTCATTTTCTGGAAACTACTCTCATTAACCATTTTCCCCAGGCCACCACAACATTTTACAGCCTCAATGGGAGCCTACAACCCGTACAGAAAACCTGGAATGTCAGAAGGTCAAACACTTTAAACCACAGATTTACTTCCTGCCAAGCAAATGGTTTCATATTTGTCATTGTCATCTTGTAGCAGGTCCATTGTAGAACCTCACTAGGTTTTTACCTCAGAGTGAGCTCCTATCTCTCAGTAATGCTATCAAATTTCCTCTACAGCCAACGACTGGAGGCTCATGGCCACACGAGTGGGGATCCCCGAGTCTCTGGTCCAGCAGTGGATCAAAATGCGAGCCCCAAACGCCATGGCCCTGGTGATGAGAGTTTGGGGGGACAGCAGCGGCGCTACCGTCAGAATGCTTCACAGACACCTGGTCTCCCCTCAGATGAAAGCCGCCATCTTGGCGAAGAGAATCTCTGACTTTTACCAAGTTGATTAGACAGTCCAGAAAAATGCAGCCAGATGTTTATTTAAGCAATGCCAACCAGCACTTCTCATAAATCTGGTATTTTGACCTGGGTAGCCAGATTTAATTCCTATACAAGCCAGAAATTTATTTGAGCAATGCCAACCAGCACTTCTCATAAATCTGGTATTTTGACCTGGGTAGCCAGATTTAATTCCTATACAAGCCAGAAATTTATTTGAGCAATGCCAACCAGCACTTCTCATAAATCTGGTATTTTGACCTAGGTAGCCAGATTTAATTCCTGTACAACAAGCCAGAAGTTTATTTGAGCAATGCCAACCAGCACAACCCAGAGTAGAAGCTGAGATCTCTTGCTAGTCAACGGATCAGTTTTACTTAGGTAAAGAAAGTCATAGAAGAAATGAGACAAATGTCAGGGCAACTATAAATGTCAATAGTTATAAGGCAGAGAAGATTGCCCTGTATTGGACACATCCTGGGAAGGAACCAGGGGAAAATCACCAAACAGGCTTTGAAATGAGAAATGAGGAAGGGAGAACGTCCGAGATATTGAAGGCATTGCACAGGACAGAATGGAATGAAGGAATAGACTGCAAGTCTTGTGTGACATATAGTGACACAACAGGACAGAATGGAATGAAGGAATAGACTGCAAGTCTTGTGTGACATATAGTGACACAACAGGTCAATGAATGAATGAATGAATGAATGAATTTATAAATGAATGAATGAATAAATGAATGAATGAATAAATGAATGAATTTATAAATGAATGAATTTATAAATGAATGAATTTATAAATGAATTAATTTATAAAGGAATTAATGAATAAATGAATGAATAAATAAATAAATGAATAAATGAATTTATAAATGAATGAATTTATAAATGAAATAAGTTAAGTACAAGACCCTTTTTGAACCTTGGGCATGGCGCCAGGCCTAAATATGGGTGATGTCACGAACATTGTGCTGGTTGCATTTATTTCCCAGGACTTTACCTAGCATCCACTTTAGGCTGGGTAGACCAGGGAACAAAGATAAATTCTGAAGAAACAAAATCTGTCTCATCAGTGGAGGCAGCAGTCAGAACAGATCAGTAGTTTCACATGCAAATAATTGCACAAGGCACCACCAATTATGTGGCAGCAGGCTACTCGTGATTTTCTGAATCTGCAGTTGCATCACAAACTAGGCTGGGCACAGCTGAAAAGCATTCCAAATGAAATCCACAGCTCAGAGTGTGGCGTCATGCACTCAGCTCAGTAACTGGTTATGGAATGATACCCTTCCAGTCTATATACGGAGGAGAATGCAACAGCTAACTGTTGTCATTAGCAAAAACTTGCCATAATTAAAAGCAGTAAACTTGCCTGTCTGCGACATTAATGGTAAGTCATGCTAAACTACTTTCTGTAAAACTTGCCATAAAACCATAACATCCATTATGTTAATGAGGAAAGACTGGAGGTTGTGGACAATTTTGGATATCTTAGGTTATTGATTACCAACAACGGTGACACAATGAAAGAAATTCAATGACAACTATCAGTTATTCATCAAAAACTAACACAACTGAATAAATGATGGAGTGGGACAGACAGAACTATAAAAATTAGATTTCTAAGAGCATACATTTGTTCCTATTTCAACATACGCCTGTGAGACCTGGACACTTACTAAACAAGCTGAACAGCGCATAAATGCCTTTGAATACAAATGTAGACGGGTTTTAAGAATATCATGAATAAAGAAAAGAATAAATCCATCCATACACCAAAAATTGAATATTGAAGAAGGTTGGCTATTAAAGATGATAAAACACAGAAAATTGAAATATTTTGGTTACTTGAAAGAAACGTCACGGAAGTTAAGAGAGAACAAAAATGGAGGGGTATATGCCTGGGAAGAGAGGAAGAGGAAGGCCAAAGAGAAGATGGGTGCAAGATGTGGTGGATAATCTCCAGATGGGTGTATCGGACGCGAGACATCTTGCCTGTGATCGAGAAGTTTTCCAGAGGGTTGTTATGGGAGCAAGGTCCTGCAAAGGGCATGCTACTGACTGACTGATTGACTGACTGACTGATTGACTGACTGACTGACAAGACTGTAAGGTACCTCTGCATCCCAGGATAGACAAGGAAAGAGAACATGTTTTCCTGTGTGTTAAATGTATTCATACTGTTAAATTAAAAAAAAAAAATTTAAAAAATTATGATTTAAATAATCACCAAGTAAATATATATAAGAAGAAATGTTCTTTTATGTCCTTTATATTCAGTTATATCTTGAATTTTTAGCTGTCACGCTGAGTGTCACCGGTGAATAATTTGTGGTAGCTTCCCATGTCCTTGGGTGTGCAGGCCTGAGTCTTGATGTCTGCCCCAACATTAAACACATAACGCAGTATTTCAATAGAGAACAGATCTGTAAGGTGGCACATGCGACCTTAAAGATATCAACACTGACACAGACACTTGGGAGACATCACAGGCAGACCACTCCTTCAGAGGTAGACCATGAATGACAGACTGGCGTAGTTTGAAAGAAGTCAATAACAGCAAGGCAAGCAATAGAGAGGGGCATCTTGAGATAAACAAACCATCCTCAGGTTGATAGGGCATCAATTTTTTTTATGTAGACTATGGCAGAGGCTGCCACTTTGGCACTGGACTTTACAGTATTAATAGAAGCTGTTACCAAACCCAGTGGCACATCTTCATGGTCCCGGGGGAGTGACCACTGCCTACTAGCAGGGAGTGAACACTGCCTACTAGCAGGGAGTGACCATTGCCTACTAGCAGGGAGTGACCATTGCCTACTAACAGGGAGTGACTATTGCCTACTAGCAGGGAATGACCATTGCCTACTGGCAGGGAGTGACCATTACCTATTGGCAGGGAGTGACCATTGCCTACTAGCAGGGAGTGACCATTGCCTACTAGCAGGGAGTGACCTTTGCCTACTAGCAGGGAGTGACTGTTGCCTACTGGCAGGCAGTGACCATTGCCTACTGGCACGGAGTGACCATTGCCTACTGGCAGGGAGTGACCATTGCCTACTGGCCACATCCAACACTGAATTGGCTGAGAGAGAACAGTCATGGAAGTTCTTGGATACAAGAGACAAGGGTTGACCAGCCTAACGGTGAAAGAACAATGTAGGAGACATCTTAGGAATGACAATCTTATGTTATCACTATTGACATCCTTGCACATTGGGCATTCCCATACGTAATCAGTCCCCTGATGCGGCAACCATGCCAAGGTTAAAATGTTAGTTGCATATCCTTTACAGGACTGTGCACAACCAAACCCAGCATTTTGTAGCTGTTGTTTTTTTAAAGTAAATTATATCTCCAGTATTTTGCCAGTGCTTTCTAAACAATCTGCTCTTGGTACCACTGTTGAAACCAATACAAGACGGTCTGCTGCTAAATCGCCTGCAGCCCAGATCAAAGCTCTAAACCACAGGTGCCAGTTGCTCTAATCACTGTTCCCATGAGGACTTATTTATAATGTCTCTTATCTCGGCCTTGGAGGTACGGTATAGACATTCTTTACCATTCTTTACTCCCAGGGCATGCAATCCATTCAGTGTCAGAGATTCATCATTTTTCACTAGCCCATTACAAAAAATGAGGCAGGAGAGGTTGGCACAGGTAGTAAATGACTTAAGGTGTTTTAGATACCTGATGTTGGCTCAAAGTTTTACAGGAGGAGGAGGAGAGGCAGACGGAGACCGAGAGAACAGATACTGGACAGCTTGACCTCATGGCATGGAGGATCATTTGTGTGAGAGTTGATAAAAGTACATAAGACAGAAGGTTGTGCACAGACATGACTATCAACACTATACAGCACGGACTTCAAGAAGAACTAGACGTATCTTCAGTCGATGATGTTATATTGTGCTATAGGAAGACATGAGAGTCAAAACTCATGGTGAATCGCCAGTGTGACTAGCAAGACCCGGCCATGTTAAGCAAAGTCTTCCACAATTAGATATGGGATTTTATGGCCATTATATGTCTCTAATGTGTTTCTTCTCAGACAATGAGCTCTGAAACTATCTGCAGTCAGTTGTTCTTTTATTCCTATTGCCTCCCTGCAACACAGTCCTTAGCATTGTGTATCCACAAATTCATGTGTGCATTACAACAGTTTTCAGAACACCTAACGTTTATCTCCCCACGCTCCGCCCATATACACACTAGCCCACTTCTGAATGGTAATTCCTCAACCTGTCACCTAGGCGCAAGGTTACGGAGATGTTCCGCAATGCAGTTGATATCGCGTGTTGTATATTTTAGCACGCCAGCGCTTTTAACGCTTTAAAAACATGGAGAAACTGGTCCTAACACAAACCCCCCTACAGAGTGCAGCAACCTATGTCAAAGGCATTCTCTTTCTTGGAAAGAAAAAATAAATGCAAGACATCACAGAAAGCAAACAACAGAGCGGGACACACCTGTAACCTTCAGGAAAGTCGACCAGCCCAACAAAGTTGTGAATGAAAAGTGACCTTCTTTGTTTGGGGAGATTTAGGTGAACCTAACCCAGTTCTCTATAATATCACAGTGCTTTACAATAGGCTCAACAAACATTAAACAGATGGCTTGTTATTTATTCTCATTATATTATCCATAACAAACATGGTAATAATAACAAGTGTACATGTATAAAACCTGTTTATCCGACAGAATAAAATAACACACATACTGAGCAGTCAATAACAGAAGTCTAAACATTTGTAACTATCCCATAAATGATCTGAGCAGGTAACACACTGAATGAACTCTGACACCAGTAGGACCACTTAATACACTAACTTCTGACCCCAGTGGGACCATGTAACACACTGAATGAACTCTGACACCAGTGGAACCACTTAATACACTTACCTCTGACCCCCATGGGACCATGTAACACTGACCTCTGACCCCAGTGGGACCTTGTAAACTCTGATCTCTGAACCTACCAGATGCCACAACCTACACCAAACGGGTCACTGTATTAAAATATTTCAAGCAACAGAGTATGACAGCAAGGCACTTGGTGATGATGAAATCAGCTAGCAGGAGATATTTAGATGAGAAAACAAACACACATCCTGCTATAATATTCCTCTCTGTTCTTCCTTTTGTACCAAGAGTTAGAGAAACTGAAGTCACAAGTACTGTTACAGCTGCTGAAGGTAGGGATGGCGTGGTTATGGGAATATCCTCAGTGCTGTGATCAGTTCTTAATATAACAGCTCAGTTCACAACCTGGGTCAAACTGTTCATTTTGTCAAAGCCATAGCAGGCGGCAGGACACATCACCATCATCAGCAAGTGCCTTGCCAACTGGCATGAGCAATCAGGCGTCTCTACAACCTGCAGTCTACAACAGCAAGTATCAGTCCATGTGCTGACACCCCCGCCTGCAACGATAGAAGGCTGTCAAGAATGTCTGTCATTCTTCCACAGACCTCACCAGTGGTCAAAACATGTTACAGTTCCCTTCATCTCATAACATGACTGCAGGAGGTGCTGGACACTGTGCTGAGAAAACACAGAAATATCCTGAGATATTCATCACCTTTCCTATTTCATGTCTACCCTGAGTTGAACTGAAGCCACATGGTGGGTGAAACAATTTATTCACTGTTTTGAACAAAACCACATTGTGTGTGAAACAATTTGTTCACTGTTGTGAACAAAACCACATGGTGGGTGAAACAATTTGTTCACTGTTTTTAACAAAGCCACATGGTGTGTGAAACAATTTGTTCACTGTTTTGAACAAAGCCACATGGTGTGTGAAACAATTTGTTCACTGTTTTGAACAAAACCACATGGTGTGTGAAACAATTTGTTCACTGTTTTGAACAAAACCACATGGTGTGTGAAACAATTTGTTCACTGTTTTGAACAAAACCACATGGTGTGTGAAACAATTTGTTCACTGTTTTGAACAAAACCACATGGTGTGACAGGAGACAGTGGACTTAAAAAAAAAAAAAACGTATCCTAAGATACTCTTGTTGTGAGACTGCTGTTCCTCTTCTATCCCTTTTTAGAGAGACAGGGAGCTTGTATCAGCCAAGGATGAAGCCACAGAGATCATCATCATCATGTAGCAGGTCCCTTGAAGAACGTCACTCCCATCATGGTCTGCCTGCAGTAAATAAACTTAGTCTCTCACCAGCTCTGTCGATTCATGTACTTTCATACTTCAAGGAGTCACTGATTTCCTGTGCCCATCTTCGTGCTGGTTGCCCTGCCACACTTCCCTGCTACCAAGCTACTATTTGATCCAATCCACCCTAGCACTTGATATGGCCAAAACATTTCAGTTTCCCAGACAAGATGCTGTTTACAAGTCAATTATTCTTTGATGTTCAGATACTGTAGGATGTCAGTACTTGTTTTCTTTTCTGTCCATGGCATTCAGAGAATCTTTCTGTAGAGTTTCAACTCAAAAACTCTTTTTTTCTTTATACATAACTGCGAGGTAGTCCACAACTCACATTCGTATGCTGCTTCATGGAAGACTGCCCAAATATACAGACACTATTTATTATCAACACAAATGGAATGATCTTTCAAATATTGCCAGCAGTTGAATAACTGCTGTTGTAAATGCAATAGAAAAATTTAGAGAGACCTAGTTAAATATAACGTCACATGAAGTAACACATGCTGCCGCTGACATCAGGGGGACTGTCGGTGTCGGCCCCTGCTAGTACTGTCTGCTTCATGATGTCTTTGTCTGGATCATGATGTCATTACTGTCTGCTTCATGATGTCTTTGTCTGGATCATGATGTCATTGTCTGGATCATAATGTCATTATTGTCTGCTTTACTATGTCTTTATCTGCTTCATGATGCCCTCGTCTGCTTCATGATGTCTTTGTCTGCTTCATGATGTCATTATTGTCTGCTTTACGATGTCTTTGTCTGCTTCATGATGCCCTCGTCTGCTTCATGATGTCTTTGTCTCGATCATGATGTCATTATTGTCTGCTTTATGATGTCTTTGTCTGCTTCATGATGCCCTCGTCTGCTTCATGATGTCTTTGTCTGGATCATGATGTCATTTTTGTCTGCTTTACGATGTCTTTGTCTGCTTCATGATGCCCTCGTCTGCTTCATGATGTCTTTGTCTGGATCATGATGTCATTACTGTCTGCTTTACGATGTCTTTGTCTGCTTCATGATGCCCTCGTCTGCTTCATGATGTCTTTGTCTGGATCATGATGTCATTACTGTCTGCTTTACGATGTCTTTGTCTGCTTCATGATGCCCTCGTCTGCTTCATGATGTCTTTGTCTGGATCATGATGTCATTACTGTCTGCTTTACGATGTCTTTGTCTGCTTCATGATGTCTTTGTCTGGATCATAATGTCATTATTGTCTGCTTTACGATGTCTTTGTCTGCTTCATGATGTCATTACTGTCTGCTTTACGATGTCTTTGTCTGCTTCATGATGTCATTACTGTCTGCTTTACGATGTCTTTGTCTGCTTCATGATGCCCTCGTCTGCTTCATGATGTCTTTGTCTGGATCATGATGTCATTACTGTCTGCTTTACGATGTCTTTGTCTGCTTCATGATGTCCTCGTCTGCTTCATGATGTCTTTGTCTGGATCATGATGTCATTATTGTCTGCTTCATGATGTCCTTGTCTGCTTCATGATGCTCTTTTATTGTCTGCTTCACAATGTCCTTGTCTGCTTCATAATGCTTTTTTATTGTCTGCTTCACGATGTCTTTGTCTGCTTCATGATGCTCTTATACTGCCTGCTTCACGATGTCTTTGTCTGCTTCATGATGCTCTTTTATTGTCTGCTGAAGAAAATGTTTGCTCCATGATGTGCTCAATCTCCTGCCTGTGAACTGTGTCCACACCGGTGGCTGGGGTGCCGCTGACCTCTCTTCCTGCGTACTTGAGCTGTGGAACCCGAGAGACAGTTAGTGGAACATCTGGCTTCAATATATGGGGACATATAGTACTGCAACACTCATCATCATCATCATCATCATCCTTATCATTTTAGGACGGGTGTTGAAGGCACCTGATACCACTTGACATGTTGTCACCATCACCAGGTGATTCTCTGTGGCAAAGTAGTCAAGCCATTTGCCTCATGCCCTGAATGTTATAGGTTCATTTTCAGCCTGAGTCTCTCAGTTCACAAGTGACCTTTACCTAGAGAAGAGTCACTGCTGTCGTACAGAATTCAGACTATTTGATGGTAGTGGCAGGTGACCGGCCATACCAAAACTAGATCCAGAACTCCACCATCAATGTCAAGTAGATCTAGTCATCACACAGAGAGGTACCTCACTTATTCTCAAACTGTCAGCATTATTTTCAGACTACCATCACTGTCATCAAACTGCTGTCATTATTCTTAAAGAGAGTAACAATTCTTCTTCTCAGCGTTCACTGGCAGTAAACTCTGTCAGCAAGCTCAGGGGTTTAGCCACTTTAAGCCTTGGCCTTGTTATAGAACTTGAGTTTTGAGTGCACATTTATTTTACTGATCTGACTTATTTATATGCAGGCTGTTGGTTGCTTGGCTCTCAGACAGATGCGCTTCAACTTCAAAGGAAACACCCCTAACCAGTATTCTTGGGTTTATTCTTTTCCCCCAAGTTGGACCACAGAACCCACACAGGAAAGAGCGACAACAAAAACTGACCCACCTGACAGCGGACTAGGTTCAGGAAGTGAGGAGAGACAATAAATGCCTGTGACCCACCTGACAGCGGACCAGGTTCAGGAAGCGAGGAGAGACAATAAATGTTGCTGACCCACCTGACAGTCGACCAGGTTCAGGAAGAGAGAAGAGACAATAAATGTTGCTGACTCACCTGACAGCCGACTAGGTTCAGGAAGCGAGGAGAGACAATATATGTCGGTGACTCACCTGACAGTCGACTAGGTTCAGGAAGCGAGGAGAGACAATATATGTCGGTGACTCACCTGACAGCCAACCAGGTTCAGGAAGCGAGGAGAGACAATAAATATTGCTGACTCACCTGACAGCCAACCAGGTTCAGGAAACGAGGAGAGACAATAAATGTTGCTGACTCACCTGACAGCTGACCAGGTTCAGGAAGCGAGGAGAGACAATATATGTCGGTGACTCACCTGACAGTCGACTAGGTTCAGGAAGCGAGGAGAGACAATATATGTCGGTGACTCACCTGACAGCCAACCAGGTTCAGGAAGCGAGGAGAGACAATAAATATTGCTGACTCACCTGACAGCCAACCAGGTTCAGGAAACGAGGAGAGACAATAAATGTTGCTGACTCACCTGACAGCTGACCAGGTTCAGGAAGCGAGGAGAGACAATAAATGTTGCTGACCCACCTGACAGCGGACTAGGTTCAGGAAGCGAGGAGAGACAATAAATGTTGCTGACTCACCTGACAGCCGATCAGGTTCAGGAAGCGAGGAGAGACAAATGTCCAGGCACCCATGTTCCTGTGCTCCTCCTGGCTCCAAACAAACTCCTTGACCTTAGGAAACTGGTGCAGCACATTCTGCAGCTCCATCACAGGGAATGGGCACAGACTCTATAAACAGAACATGATAAGAGTCAGATACTGTGTTTATAACAAGACTATGGGGCTTACGAGAATGATCCGATCCTGGACAAAAACCAAGATAAAACTGAATATATATCATCAGAGTAATGAAAATATAACGCTGAAACGATCACATAGAAAATTATATAATATACTAATGAAAATACAACAGAAAAAAATAACACTAAAACTCAAACAGTAAGTAATACCGCAAGAATATAATAATAATAATTAGCTTTTAGTTCAATAACTGTTGCCACAGCACAGTCTTGAAAAACCTGTCCTACCCCCATAGTGGTAACAAGTCCCCAAACTAGCAGCCTGCCCTCACACGATATAGCTCTGAAGACAGTCTCACACACAGCAGCTCTGAAGACAGTCTCACACACACAGTAGCTCTGAAGAAAGTCTCCACACACACACAGCAGCTCTGAAGACAGTCTCCATACACACAGCAGCTCTGAAGAAAGTCTCCACACACACAGCAGCTCTGAAGACAGTCTCCACACACACACAGCAGCTCTGAAGACAGTCTCCACACACACAGCAGCTCTGAAGACAGTGGCCACACACACACATCAGCTCTGAAGACAGTCTCCATACTCACAGTAGCTCTGAAGACAGTCTCCACACACAGTAGCTCTGAAGACAGTCCCCACACACAGTATTCCTGAAGACAGTTTCCACACACAGTAGCTCTACAGACAGTCCCCACACACAGTATTCATGAAGACAGTCTCCACATACAGTAGCTCTACAGACAGTCCCCACACACAGTATCCCTGAAGACAGTCCCCACACACAGTATTCCTGAGGACAGTCCCCACACACAGTATCCCTGAAGACAGTCCCCACACACAGTATCCCTGAAGACAGTCTCCACACACAGTATCCCTGAAGACAGTCTCCACACACAGTATCCCTGAAGACAGTCTCCACACACAGTATCCCTGAAGACAGTCTCCACACACAGTATCCCTGAAGACAGTCTCCACACACAGTATCCCTGAAGACAGTCTCCACACACAGTATCCCTAAAGACAGTCCCCACACACAGTATCCCTGAAGACAGTCCCCACACACAGTATCCCTAAAGACAGTCCCCACACACAGTATCCCTGAAGACAGTCCCCACACACAGTATCCCTAAAGACAGTCCCCACACACAGTATCCCTGAAGACAGTCCCCACCAGGCAGGTGGTGCTGTTGCTAGAGTGTGAAGTGCCAGGTCCCTACAATTCATAGTGAACCTACCCATTCACTGCCCTGAAGCAAACATTCAACCTAATCGACCAGACAGAATCCAAACAACAGATACTTTAGACACTAACCTCCAGTCTTATAAATGCCACGTTGCTGAGGCCTCTTTTTTCTCGTTCTGTCACAAGAGTATAAAAGTGTTTCCCAGAGCAAAAAACCAATCGTGTCACATCTGAGGCTGACACGAGTGGGTCAGGCAATACTGGTTGGAAGTGTGTTCCTGGCAACATGTCAGACAAAGAGGAAGTCGCTGCAGGCAGGCGCAGAATCCCTTTAGGTGCCGCGACAACCAGGGGCTTGCGGTAGTTGCGCACCATCTGTGAGTACAAGCAGAAACAGTCACAACTATCAGGGTGTCCTATAAGTTCCCATACATGATAAACATAAACATATTTATATGAAAACTATTTTAATTTATTTAACATGCTCTACATCAGGCATGTCAAAGTGGTGGCCCGTGGATCACAAGTGGCGCTCTGCAAGCACACATGCAACCCACATACAGGAAATATTCTACAATAACGTTTATGAAAACACTTCAGCTAGATGTCTTTTGTTTTCTCATTCTTTTTTTTTTTTTCCTGTGTAGAAAAACTCATGGAACAGCCTGTAGACTGAGCTGTGATATCTGAGAGTTTGAGGTCTCAGATTTCAGATTTGAGGCCTGACTTCTGAGGATTAAGATCTGAGGCTTGAGTTCTCAAAACAGATCTGAAATATGATTTCTTCTTCTTCTGTGCATTCTCTCAGCCAGTGGTTTTCAGACAGGGAGACAGCCATGGCTGCTGTACAGATTGAGGTGAGGTGCATGCTATCCATGCAGCTCCGTCTCCACCGGGACATTAACAGCCCAGATCTGGGTTCACACTACTGCATGTACCCAGCATGGTTGCAGTGAGGTCAACTTACCTGGGGCAGTAAGGTCACTTACTTGGGACAGTCAGGTCAACTTACCTGAGGCAGTTAGGTCGACTTACCTGGTGCAGTGAGGTTAACTTATCTGCCGCAGTTAGGTCAACTGAACTGGTGCAGTGATTAACTTACCTGGGTCAATTAGGTCAAATTACCTGGTGCAGTGAGGAGAACTTACCTGATGCAGTGAGATAAACTTAACTTGGTGCAGTGAGGAGAACTTACCTGGTGCAGTGAGGTAAACTTACCTGGTGCAGTGAGGTAAACTTACCTGATGCAGTGAGGTAAACTTATCTGGTGCAGTGAGGTAAACTTACCTGGTGCAGTGAGGTAAACTTACCTGGTGCAGTGAGGTAAACTTACCTGGTGCAGTGAGGTAAACTTACCTGGTGCAGTGAGGTAAACTTACCTGGTGCAGTGAGGTAAACTTACCTGGTGCAGTGAGGTAAACTTACCTGGTGCAGTGAGGTAAACTTACCTGGTGCAGTGAGGTAAACTTACCCGGTGTATCAAGGTCAACTTACCTGGTGTAATGAGGTCAAAATACCAGGTTTAGTTAATTCAATATACCTAGTATAATGATGTTAAATTACCTGGTGTATTGAAGTCAACATACCTTGTGTAATGAGGTCAATATACCAGGTTTGATGAATTCAACATACATGGTGTCAAAAAATCAACTTACCTGGTGTAATAAGGATAACATAACTAGGTTTAGTGAATTCAACCTACCTGATGTAACGAAGCCAACGTACCTGGTGTATCAAGCCCAACTTATATAATGCAAGTACTTGGCTGGTGTAGTCAGAAAAATATACCTCTTGTCTGGAAAAAAACAACTGACCAGTTATTGTGAGGTTAGCTTATCTGGAAGAGAAGAGGACAGGTAAAGTATTGACTTACTTGTCTGCGGAGAAGATGAAAATACTGAGCTGGTGTTGTGGGGTTGACAATCTGAATGTTGACGTTGTCTCCGTCCACCTGGTCCTCTTTACTGTCACATTGCTGTCAACATAATAGCAAACATATCACTAAAGAATGAGCAATATGAACACAAGAGACTCTGACAGACATCAAGGGGAAGGAAATAAAAGTGCAGATACCAGCAACAATGATATACAAAAATATCCATCTGTCATCATCCTCACAATCAGATTCTGGTATTCATCTGTCATCATCCTCACAACCAGATGCTGGTATCCATATTTGGACTAGAAGACTACGAGGTATATTTCCCTCTACATCCTGGGGTATAAGTACAAGCCTACAAGGTCTTATTTCCCTCTACATTCTAGGGTAGAAGTACAAGACTGCAAGATCTTATTTCCCTCTACATCCTAGGGTAGAAGTACAAGACTGCAAGATCTTATTTCCCTCTACATCCTAGGGTAGAAGTACAAGACTACAAGATCTTAATTCCCTCTACATCCTGGGGTAGAAGTACAAGCCTACAAGGTCTTATTTCCCTCTACATCCTAGGGTAGAAGTACAAGACTACAAGGTCTTATTTCCCTCTACATTCTAGGGTAGAAGTACAAGACTGCAAGATCTTATTTCCCTCTACATCCTAGGGTAGAAGTACAAGACTGCAAGATCTTATTTCCCTCTACATCCTAGGGTAGAAGTACAAGACTACAAGATCTTAATTCCCTCTACATCCTGGGGTAGAAGTACAAGCCTACAAGGTCTTATTTCCCTCTACATCCTAGGGTAGAAGTACAAGACTACAAGGTCTTATTTCCCTCTACATTCTAGGGTAGAAGTACAAGACTGCAAGATCTTATTTCCCTCTACATCCTAGGGTAGAAGTACAAGACTGCAAGATCTTATTTCCCCATACATCCTAGGGTAGAAGTACAAGACTACAAGGTCTTATTTCCCTCTACATCCTAGGGTAGAAGTACAAGACTACAAGGTCTTATTTCCCTCTATATCCTAGGGTAGAAGTACAAGAATACAAGGTCTTATTTCCCTCTATATCCTAGGGTAGAAGTACAAGACTACAAGGTCTTATTTCCCTCTACATCCTAGGGTAGAAGTACAAGACCACAAGGTCTTATTTCCCTCTACATCCTGGGGTAGAAGTACAAGACTACAAGGTCTAATTTCCCTCTACATCCTAGGGTAGAAGTACAAGACTACAAGGTCTTATTTCCCTTTACATCCTAGGGTAGAAGTACAAGACTACAAGGTCTTATTTCCCTCTACATCCTGGGATAGAAGTTCCAGACTACAAGGTGTTATTTCCCTCTACATCCTCGGGTAGAAGTACAAGACTACAAGGTCTTATTTCCCTCTACATCCTGGGGTAGAAGTTCCAGACTACAAGGTCTTATTTCCCTCTACATCCTCGGGTAGAAGTACAAGACTACAAGGTCTTATTTCCCTCTACATCCTAGGGTAGAAGTACAAGACTACAAAGTCTTATTTCCCTCTACATCCTCGGGTAGAAGTTCCAGACTACAAGGTCTTATTTCCCTCTACATCCTCGGGTAGAAGTATAAGACTACAAGATCTTATTTCCCTCTGCATCCTAGGGTAGAAGTACAAGACTACAAGGTCTTATTTCCCTCTACATCCTAGGGTAGAAGTACAAGACTACAAGGTCTTATTTCCCTTTACATCATAGGGTAGAAGTACAAGACTACAAAGTCTTATTTCCCTCTACATCCTCGGGTAGAAGTTCCAGACTACAAGGTCTTATTTCCCTCTACATCCTAGGGTAGAAGTACAAGACTACAAGGTCTTATTTCCCTCTACATCCTAGGGTAGAAGTACAAGACTACAAGATCTTATTTCCCTCTACATCCTAGGGTAGAAGTACAAGACTACAAGATCTTATTTACCTTTACATCCTAGGGTAGAAGTTCCAGACTACAAGGTCCTATTTCCCTCTACATCCTAGGGTAGAAGTACAAGACTACAAGGTCTTATTTCCCTTTACATCCTAGGGTAGAAGTACAAGACTACAAGATCTTATTTCCCTCTACATCCTAGGGTAGAAGTACAAGACTACAAGGTCTTATTTCCCCATACATCCTAGGGTAGAAGTACAAGACTACAAGGTCTTATTTCCCTCTACATCCTCGGGTAGAAGTTCCAGACTACAAGGTCTATTTCCCTCTACATCCTAGGGTAGAAGTACAAGACTACAAGGTCTTATTTCCCTCTACATCCTCGGGTAGAAGTACAAGACTACAAGGTCTTATTTCCCTCTACATCCTAGGGTAGAAGTACAAGACTACAAGGTCTTATTTCCCTCTACATCCTAGAGTAGAAGTACAAGACTACAAGGTCTTATTTCCCTCTACATCCTAGGGTAGAAGTACAAGACTCAAAGATCTTATTTCCCTCTACATCCTGGGGTAGAAGTACAAGACTACAAGGTCTTATTTCCCTCTACATTCTAGGGTAGAAGTACAAGACTACAAGGTCTTAATTAACCCTTTTAGCACGGGAAGTTTTTCAGAGGTCTAGCCAAAAGCACGGAGCATTTTTTCAATGAATTTGGTTATTACTTTATTTAATTTTTTTGACAGATTTCTGTTATTCTGACCCCTATGAAATAATATAACTATTTGAAGGATATAGATTGAAGTTCGTGATTTTCACAATATCATTAAAATTAATTGATGTATATGCAAATTATCTTATTTGCATATCTAAAAATAGAAAATATGAATTTGAATTTTCAACTTCAATGCTTGAAACATAAAACTAAAAACAAAAATTTTTTTTATTTGAAATCTTTTTATTGATCTTTGGCCTTTTTACAAATGTTGTAAGCAATTCAATAGTCAAAAACAGGTATATATATGTGAAACAGCAATAATATCTTTAGGTGACATGTGTTTTTCACCATCAGTCAGCACTAGAAATGGATGTGCCGGAGTGTCAACACCTTCGGGTTGATATACCCTGAGCCATGGTTGGGCTGTGGTCTGAACACAACAGCGTCCCCATCTGATTCCCACTATTACTACTAACACTAAATCCTGCATCAGTATCAACAGAATTAGTGTCATCACTTGATTCAAATGTTTTATCAACATCAAGTTTAGGGGCAGAAACATACGAGTCAGACATACTTTTAGCGGTTCAGGTCACTATCTAAAAAATTCAACAACGATTTTCACTTCGATACCAAACACTCGAAAGTCGACATGTGTAAAGCTGATACCGCAGTTAATATAAATGAATCACTTTCAGTGTTTCAAAGTAGGAGATTTCTTAGCGGTTCGAGGCGAAACACGATCGGGCCGATCATCGGCCGTTCCGTGTTTTTGGCCAGACATCCGCCGGCCGATAATCGGCCCGTCCGTGCTAAGAGGGTTAAAAAATTGACACAGAAGAAGAGATGACACCCACCTGTAAAAACCTCTCGACCCTGCATGAAGAGTGTTCTGGGCCAGCCCCGTCCATGCCATGGGGAAGCAGCAATACAAGTCCAGACTGCAGCAGCCATTTTACTGGGGACACAAAGTAGGTGCAATAACTAAGAATTAAAAATCAATGTGATCAAGGTAGAACAGTGAGGTTGGAATCAAGAGAGAATAGTGAGGTCAATGAAAACTCTATGAGAGTTAGCACACAGTGAGATCAAGGCAGAACAGTGGGGTCAATGAAAACTCTATGAGAGTTAGCACACAGTGAGATCAAGGCAGAACAGTGGGGTCAATGAAAACTCTATGAGAGTTAGCACACAGTGAGATCAAGGCAGAACAGTGGGGTCAATGAAAACTCTATGAGAGTTAGCACACAGTGAGATCAAGGCAGAACAGTGGGGTCAATGAAAACTCTATGAGAGTTAGCACACAGTGAGATCAAGGCAGAACAGTGGGGTCAATGAAAACTCTATGAGAGTTAGCACACAGTGAGATCAAGGCAGAACAGTGGGGTCAATGAAAACTCTATGAGAGTTAGCACACAGTGAGATCAAGGCAGAACAGTGGGGTCAATGAAAACTCTATGAGAGTTAGCACACAGTGGGATCAAGGCAGAACAGTGGGGTCAATAAAAACTCTATGAGAGTTAGTACTCAGTGGGATCAAGGCAGAACAGAACATTCACTAAAACAGGTGAGTGATTTCAAGTATCTTGGAAGGACCTTCACATCAGACGGCAGACTGGACACAGAGACTGAGTCAGGAATCCAGCAAACAAGCCAACAGTGTTACCTATCAACTTTCCCCAGTACTGAAACACCCAGCACTACCAATGGAAACAAACACAAATTATAAACACTTATCTTTGTACCAACAACGCATTATCAAAGACAAATCTGTACATTAACTCTTTGAGTCCCAAGGAAATCAAGGAAGTTCATGTGGGGCCTGTAGCTTGCGTGCACACCGTGACAATTACATGTTTAGTGTTCTGCTGGCAGTCCCACATTCACCCAGTCGCCACTTTTACCTCGGTCACAACAGATGTACTGAAACACAAAGATGGAAATGGTTTGGCCACCCGGTCAGAATGAGCCCAGCGTCACCAGCTGCAAGAGCATACACCATGAGAATGGAAACATCTAGAGGCAGAGGAAGTCCAAGAAGAGTATAGATGGATGGAGTTAACAACTTGCTGAAACTCAACAATATCACCATGCAGTAAGCTAAGAAGCACGCACTATCCCAGAAACCAATTATTAACTGTGCCTGCGATGCCTAACAGGATTAAGCAGAGAAAGAAAATAAAAAGAGGCATCCAAAGACCCTTGTCAAGCCAGTGGCATCCCCTCACAAGCATGTCCTAAGATGGGGGTCTTCATGGCAAAATGGTCAAGCCATTCACCTCATGCTCTGAAGGTTGTGGGTTCGATTCCAGCTGCACCCTTCAATTCCCGAGTACAGTTTTTATGGAGATCCCTGAGGATCGTCACCGGAGCTACAGAGTTCATACTAAGAGAGACCTAGCCATATGGGTTAAAATCCAGTACAACGAAGTCAATCCTCTCGACTTTAACCTTTTAACCTTTATGTGCTAAGTGTCGACTGATTAGGGTTTCCTTCTGTCAGAGTACATCTGACCGAGAGGCAAGGAACCAACAGTCTGCTCATGAATAAGCCAGATCTATAATATAGATATGCACACAAAACTCCAGTTCTGGATCAATGTAAGTCTAGAAGTGGAACTTTCCACCGGGGTTTACATCCACTGAAGGCAATCAAGAAGAAGCCAGTAGCTGATCAGTTATAGGGGGATATACTTTCTTCTTAAAATCTAACAAACATAAGATAAACGCAACTTTACAACACATTCATACATAAACAAGACACCTCACAGAGACTTACATTCTCCACAAGACATATTCCTACAGAAACAAGACACCTCACAGAGACTTACATTCTCCACACGACACATTCCTACAGAAACAAGACACCTCACAGAGACTTACATTCTCAACAAGACACATTCCTACAGAAAAAAGACACCTCACAGAGACTTACATTCTCCACAAGACACATTCCTACAGAAACAAGACACCTCACAGAGACTTACATTTTCCACAATACATATTCCAACAGAAACAAGACACATCAAGGAGACTTACATTCTCCACAAGACACATTCCTACAGAAACAAGACACCTCACAGAGACTTACATTCTCCACAAGACACATTCCTACAGAAACAAGACACCTCACAGAGACTTACATTCTCCACAAGACACATTCCTACAGAAACAAGACACCTCACAGAGACTTACATTCTCTAAAAGACACATTCCTACAGAAACAAGACACCTCACAGAGACTTACATTCTCCACAAGACACATTCCTAAAGAAACAAGACACCTCACAGAGACTTACATTTTCCACAAGACACATTCCTACAGAAACAAGACACCTCACAGAGACTTACATTCTCTACAAGACACATTCCTACAGAAACAAGACACCTCACAGAGACTTACATTCTCTACAAGACACATTCCTACAGAAACAAGACACCTCACAGAGACTTACATTCTCTACAAGACACATTCCTACAGAAACAAGACACCTCACAGAGACTTACATTCTCCACAAGACACATTCCTACAGAAACAAGACACCTCACAGAGACTTACATTCTCTACAAGACACATTCCTACAGAAACAAGACACCTCACAGAGACTTACATTCTCAACAAGACACATTCCTACAGAAACAAGACACCTCACAGAGACTTACATTCTCCACAAGACACATTCCTACAGAAACAAGACACCTCACAGAGACTTACTTTCTCCACAAGACACATTCCTACAGAAACAAGACACCTCACAGAGACTTACATTCTCTACAAGACACATTCCTACAGAAACAAGACACCTCACAGAGACTTACATTCTCAACAAGACACATTCCTACAGAAACAAGACACATTACAGAGACTTACATTCTCCACAAGACACATTCCTACAGAAACAAGACACCTCACAGAGACTTACATTCTCCACAAGACACATTCCTACAGAAACAAGACACCTCACAGAGACTTACATTCTCCACAAGACACATTCCTACAGAAACAAGACACCTCACAGAGACTTACATTCTCCACAAGACACATTCCTACAGAAACAAGACACCTCACAGAGACTTACATTCTCCACAAGACGCATTCCTACAGAAACAAGACACCTCACAGAGACTTACATTCTCCACAAGACACATTCCTACAGAAACAAGACACCTCACAGAGACTTACATTCTCCACAAGACACATTCCTACAGAAACAAGACACCTCACAGAGACTCACATTCTCCACAAGACACATTCCTACAGAAACAAGACACCTCACAGAAACTTACATTCTCCACAAGACACATAGGTATCAATGATAGTCTGGGCAGCATTGAAGAAGTCCCCAAACTGAGCCTCCCACAAGACCAGAGTGTTGTGATCATCTATACTCATGCCGTACTCAAATCCCAGCACACCTTCCTCAGAGAGGGCACTGTTGGCCACCTGTGGATATGATTAAGGTTGTCTATAAGAAATAACGGAGAACCCTTGCTACAGATCTTCTGCAGATATTTTTCCAGAAGGTGAGACAGTTCCAATGACAAACTCTTTAGTTCTAACATAAACTACCACCTCCAGGAAAAGAGAAAGATTATAACTCGTTCACAAATACTCTAGTTCCTGTCTCCAGGAAGTGAGAAACATTATAATTAGTTCACATATATTCTAGTTCCTGTCTCCAGGAAGTGAGAAACATTATAATTAGTTCACATATATTCTAGTTCCTGTCTCCAGGAAGTGAGAAACATTATAATTAGTTCACAAATACTCTAGTTCCTATCTCCAGGAAGTGAGAAACATTATAATTAGTTCACATATATTCTAGTTCCTGTCTCCAGGAAGTGAGAAACATTATAATTAGTTCACATATATTCTAGTTCCTGTCTCCAGGAAGTGAGAAACATTATAATTAGTTCACAAATACTCTAGTTCCTATCTCCAGGAAGTGAGAAACATTATAATTAGTTCACATATATTCTAGTTCCTGTCTCCAGGAAGTGAGAAACATTATAATTAGTTCACATATATTCTAGTTCCTGTCTCCAGGAAGTGAGAAACATTATAATTAGTTCACAAATACTCTAGTTCCTATCTCCAGGAAGTGAGAAACATTATAATTAGTTCACATATATTCTAGTTCCTATCTCCAGGAAGTGAGAAACATTATAATTAGTTCACATATATTCTAGTTCCTATCTCCAGGAAGTGAGAAACATTATAATTAGTTCACATATATTCTAGTTCCTGTCTCCAGGAAGTGAGAAACATTATAATTAGTTCACAAATACTCTAGTTCCTATCTCCAGGAAGTGAGAAACATTATAATTAGTTCACATATATTCTAGTTCCTGTCTCCAGGAAGTGAGAAACATTATAATTAGTTCACATATATTCTAGTTCCTGTCTCCAGGAAGTGAGAAACATTATAATTAGTTCACATATATTCTAGTTCCTGTCTCCAGGAAGTGAGAAACATTATAATTAGTTCACATATATTCTAGTTCCTATCTCCAGGAGGTGAGAAAGATTTTAATTAGTTCGCAAATACTCTAGTTCCTATCTCCAGGAGGTGAGAAAGATTTTAATTAGTTCACATATATTCTAGTTCCTATCTCCAGGAGGTGAGAAAGATTATAACTAGTTCACAAATACTCTAGTTCCTATCTCCAGGAGGTGAGAAAGATTTTAATTAGTTCACAAATACTCTAGTTCCTATCTCCAGAAAGTAAGAAAGATTATAATTAGTTCACAAATTCTCTAGTTCCTATCTCCAGGAGGTGAAAAAGATTTTAATTAGTTCACAAATACTCTAGTTCCTATCTCCAGAAAGTAAGAAAGATTATAATTAGTTCACAAATACTCTAGTTCCTGTCTCCAGAAAGTAAGAAAGATTATAATTAGTTCACAAATTCTCTAGTTCCTATCTCCAGAAAGTGAAAAAGATTACAGCTAGTTCACAAATCCTCTGGTTCCTATCTCCAGAAAGTAAGAAAGATTATAATTAGTTTACAAATACTCTAGTTCCTGTCTCCAGAAAGTTAGAAAGATTATAATTAGTTTACAAATACTCTAGTTCCTATCTCTAGAAAGTGAGAAAGATTATAATTAGTTTACAAATACTCTAGTTCATATCTCCAGAAAGTGAGAAAGATTATAATTAGTTCACAAATACTCTAGTTCCTATCTCCAGAAAGTGAGAAAGATTATAATTAGTTTACAAATACTCTAGTTCATAAATCCAGGAAGTGGGACAGATAATAATTAGTTCATAAATACTCTAGTTCATATCTCCAGGAAGTGAGAAAGATTATAATTAGTTCATAAAATTTTATTTAATATCTCTGGGAAGTGTGAAAGATCATTAGTTCACACTATCTCCTACTTCAATGACACGAGGAAAACCATTAGTTCAACATACACTAGTTCCCGCCTCCGAGAAGTAAGACAGATCATTAGTTCAATGTAAAGTAGTTCCTTTCTTCAGAAGATGAGAAAGATCATTTGTTCACACATACACTATTTCCCATACTTAGAGGGCATAGCAGATCATTAGTTCTCATAATCACAAGTTCCTACCTCGAAGAAGTGAGAAAGATCATTATTTCACACACACACACTAGTTCCTACCTACAAGAAGTGAGAAAGATTATAATTAGTCCACAAATACTCTAGTTCCAATCTACCTACCTCCAGAAAGGCTGTCTGTGAGCTAGACAAGTTGTTGAGGGGAATGTAGATGTCATCGGTTTTCTGATCCACAATCATACAGTGTCTGTGACTGAAGGTCCCTCGTCCCACATCCTGCCCACTTATCCTCACATTATAACCTGCAGATAGAGCCAAACACATCACAGGACTGACCACTAGATACACAACATCATCAATAAATATATTTGTGGATGTATGTTATCTGGGTAACACAGGGTCCACAACAGACAACGGACCTCTAGTATGTCATAAAGATGTTTGCAAGTGTTGTATGTTGAGCTAAAAACTGGTATCACAGCAATCAGGACGTTCCAATAAGCACTCTGTCCTCATCTTTAGCAGCCAGCGGAGAGTTCTTGCTTTAATGATGTCAGGAGCAGTTTGATTATACATCGGTCTTGCTTTTCCTCGGAGTCTAGAGTGTCGACTAGATCCCCTGGTCCTGACTAGATCCCCTGGTCACGACTAGATCCCCTGGTCACGACTAGATCCCCTGGTCACAACTAGATCCCCTGGTCCTGACTAGATCCCCTGGTCCTGACTAGATCCCCTGGTCCTGACTAGATCCCCTGGTCCTGACTAGATCCCCTGGTCCTGACTAGATCCCCTGGTCCTGACTAAATCCCCTGGTCCTGACTAGATCCCCTGGTCCTGACTAGATCCCCTGGTCCTGACTAGATCCCCTGGTCACAACTAGATCCCCTGGTCACAACTAGATCCACTGGTCACAACTAGATCCCCTGGTCACGACTAGATCCCCTGGTCCTGACTAGATCCCCTGGTCACAACTAGATCCCCTGGTCACAACTAGATCTCCTGGTCACAACTAGATCTCCTGGTCACAACTAGATCTCCTGGTCACAACTAGATCTCCTGGTCACAACTAGATCTCCTGGTCACAACTAGATCCCCTGATCCTGACTAGATCCCCTGGTCACAACTAGATCGCCTGGTCACAACTAGATCCCCTGGTCACAACTAGATCTCCTGGTCACAACTAGATCCCCTGGTCACAACTAGATCTCCTGGTCCTGACTAGATCCTCTAGTCACAACTAGATCTCCTGGTCCTGACTAGATCTCCTGGTCCTGACTAGATCCTCTGGTCACAACTAGATCCCCTGGTCACAACTAGATCCCCTGGTCACAACTAGATCCCCTGGTCACAACTAGATCTCCTGGTCACAACTAGATCTCCTGGTCACAACTAGATCCCCTGGTCACAACTAGATCTCCTGGTCCTGACTAGATCCCCTGGTCCTGACTAGATCCCCTGGTCACAACTAGATCCCCTGGTCACAACTAGATCTCCTGGTCACAACTAGATCTCCTGGTCACAACTAGATCTCCTGGTCACAACTAGATCCCCTGGTCACAACTAGATCTCCTGGTCACAACTAGATCTCCTGGTCACAACTAGATCTCCTGGTCACAACTAGATCCCCTGGTCACGACTAGATCTCCTGGTCACAACTAGATCCTCTGGTCACAACTAGATCCTCTGGTCACAACTAGATCTCCTGGTCCTGACTAGATCCCCTGGTCCTGACTAGATCCCCTGGTCACGACTAGATCTCCTGGTCACGACTAGATCCCCTGGTCACGACTAGATCCCCTGGTCACAACTAGATCTCCTGGTCACGACTAGATCCCCTGGTCACAACTAGATCCCCTGGTCCTGACTAGATCCCCTGGTCCTGACTAGATCCCCTGGTCACGACTAGATCCCCTGGTCACAACTAGATCCCCTGGTCACAACTAGATCCCCTGGTCACAACTAGATCCCCTGGTCACAACTAGATCCCCTGGTCCTGACTAGATCCCCTGGTCACTCCCAGCTGTACTATTCTCTCCAAACCACGATGGATTAATGTGTCTGCATTGTTCATTTGCTCTAAAAGGGCCTTGACGACATCCAGCTCATCAGGCATAAATTAAACACCTGTTGGTGCAGGACCAGTCAATCTGTCTGCCTGTTTATTTCCTACAACTCCTGCATGCCTTTGAGAAAATATCCAAAGAGCAGTAACTACCCAGGACCTCTGAAGCGATGCTTGCCACTCTGCACAGAGCATGCCTGTCTTCACGTTTCTTAACATGCTTTGTGAATCAGTTGCAATCATGGCATGTGTGTACAGCTTGTTCTAAAGCCAGCGGAAAGCTGCTCTGACTGCCTCCACCTCCATTCTCACACTGAATGTTGTGGTGTCATCATAGTCAAGGCTAAACCAAGTAGAAAATACCAGTTTTCCCCCCATCACTAAAGTCAAGCAATGTCGGGCATGGTTAGCACTTAGACAGGTGACTCATGGGAACACCAGGTGTTGTAGACATTTTCATGATAATTCATGTCCAGCTGGATGCGATGACCTGTGCAGCATGGACAGGAGAAATCAGGAAGGGAATAGTGACAAAGGAGATGATGATTGCTGACAGATTGAAAGCTGATGATTGCTGACTAATTGAGAGCTGATGATTGCTGACAGATTGAGAGCTGATGATTGCTGACAGATTGAAAGCTGAGGATATTAGTTTGTTAAATACAAGCTATAGCACGAATTAATTAAAAAATCACAGGCTCTAACTGTGGATGAATGTTCTTAATACAAGTGGGTCTTGCTAGTCACAGTGGCCATTCATCCCCATGGGCTGTGAATGCCCTGCCTCCCTAAAGCCCAGTATAACATTTATCCTCTGGGGGAAAAGCTGGACAGGTGTCAATGAGGAACCAACAATAGACAATCCCATTTCAGCTTTCAGTAAATGTCAACTCAAACAGCTGCACTGCAGTAAAGCTGTAGATCTATGTGGGATGAGCTCAGAGCAGAGACAGGGTAGGGAGGGAATACACAAGGACAGGACTGAATGAACAAACAAACTTTACTTCAAAAGGCTCACAAACTCTGGCACACAGATCTGTCTTACATTCAGCCTCTCTCTTTCACTCAGCTTTTGTGTGTTATATATCAAGTCTTTTGTGTTCATAAAACAAAATATTCATAGTAGGAAATTTATATTTAAAATATAAAAGCACGGATGATAATTTCATACCTTCAAATATACATTCATACAACACACACACAACGCAGAGACACATGGGGTAGAAAAACAAGTGAGGTAGTAGAAGTGACAAACACACAGACATATACAAATTCACTTGCACATAAGGAGGCACACATTGACAACACACACACTAACATAGCACATACAGATACATTGCATACACACAGACACATAACAAATATACACAGACACAATACACAGACATTCAACAATACACACAGACACAACAAATATACACAGACACAATACACACAGACACACAACAATACACACAGACACAACAAATATAGACAGACACAATACACACAGACAGAGGAGGAAATAAGAAATGAGTATGGGTAAGAGATTAAAACTGAAACAAACAAACAAACAAAGAAAAAGAGTCAATGATGTTGTGTGGAGCATGTAAGTCCCTGACCTTGATGAAGCAAGGAGCCCATGGCCAGGGCTTCAGCAGTAGCCCAGTCTAAACCTTCACCTTCGACCAACTTCTGGACCCTTCTCTCCAGGTGGCTTTTCTTGATGGTAGGGTGGACATTCTGAAATGACACACCACCCAGTACTTGCTGAGCTCACACACACACACAAGAAACTCTGTGTTGACTTCACTAGAATTCTTTGTATGACTTCTGGAACCCCGTGGGGGTGGGGGGAGGGGGAGGGGAGGGGGAGCAGACACACTGCCTCCCCAACTAATTAGGGGTTCCCTTCAAAGTCAGAGTACATTTGCCTGACATGTGAGAAACCAACAGTCTGCATACAAATCAGCCTGATCTGTAAAATGGATGTGCAAGCAAAACTCAGATTCTGGAAAAAGATTACAGTCCAGAAGTGGAGGAACAACCAAGCTTAACAAGAACAAATATCACACATAAATATGTGCTGTCTCCTGATTGCATTCTTGGCACACTGACTGTACTCTTGGCACACTGACTGTACTCTTGGCACACTGACTGTACTCTTGGCACACTGACTGTACTCTTGGCACACTGACTGTACTCTTGGCACACTGACTGTACTCTTGGCACACTGACTGTACTCTTGGCACACTGACTGTACTCTTGGCACACTGACTGTACTCTTGGCACACTGACTGTACTCTTGGCACACTGACTGTCAATTGTAAACGAATGGTTGACCAAGAATGGCCAAATCCAATGTCTATCTTCCATGATCGTTCTGTCAGAAAAGTTAAAACAGAATGCCGGCATATTTGATGAAAGTTGTCACATTTCCCTGTGTATCAGACCGCAATCTTTGTCGACATTAAAGTTGGATCAGGCCAGATTGCTTCTGTCAGCAGCAAGCAGTCTGCAGAGTTGCAGCCCTTGCTCAGTATTGTCAGGTGCCCGGTTGCAGTGCCTGCTCAGTACTGTCAGGTGCCCAGTTGCAGTGCCTGCTCAGTACTGTCAGGTGCCCAGTTGCAGTGCCTGCTCAGTATTGTCAGGTGCTCAGTTGCAGGGACATATCTTTGTGTTCCTTACACCAAAAAAACTGAAACATATGTTGGCACAGTCTGCTGAGCTTTGTGGTTAGTCTGAATATCACACAGTGTCCCTCTTGGGAGTGGCATCACAGTGAGCCTTGGGAAGAACAAATCAGGTGTGGGTACAAAGCCACATTTCTTGGATACTAGGCCTATCAAAATTTTCACCCCCAGGAGCATTATAAAAATAAGTCGTGACTCCGTTAGTATTTTTTTTTTACATAGGTCACTAATCAATTTATAAAAAAAAATTATTTATGTATATTTTTTCTTGATATATATTAAGACATATGAAAGGAGTGGTCAATTAACATGAACAAGGTTAGGCATTTAATGGAATAGAGTCCCCGAAAAAAAAAAAAAAAAAAAAAGCACAAGTATAGGGTACCTCAGGTCGAGACCCCGTGACCTCTATCACTATGGGGGAGAATTCTGGGAAACTCAAATGGCTTTTTAAAAAATCATTTAGGTTAGAGCACACCCCTCCCCCCCCCCCCCCTTTTCCCCAACATACTACTATTAGTTAATGTATTCATATTTTGACCTCCTAAGCATATGTGCAGGCGTGAAAACATCCAATAGCTCTAACTGTGAATCTCATACATAGGTAGGTCACTGTAGACAAGTCGGAAAAGTGACATTGACAGGAAATTAGACCCAACATAAAATGTGGATTTGTTAGCTTTCTTGGCAAAATGGTTAATGTCCAAGTCTCCTGGTAGGTTAGATATCCATGACCACTGTTCTAGCATTGCTTCTCACTCTATGACTACCACAGTATGATCCCAACATTGTTTTTTACATGCATTGATGAAGGAGCCCTTGAAAGAAGTGTAGGCAGGATGACACAACAGATCACAAGACTTACCAAACTATCAGGGACAGTTACAGACCTGGCCCCGACATACTTGAGCAGCTCTAGTGCAGCACCAGTGTCCCAGACTGTGATAGTGTCCTGTGCCTGCACCAAAGATGACCATCCAGATTGCAAATGGAATGGCTGCAAGTAACAAGATCAATAAAAAATAAAAAATTTTGTTTTGAATATTTGATCTTCTCTGACTAGAAGTAAAAACCTAACATTAGAATAAGCACAATAGATGGCATCTGATCATCAGAAGGTATCTGCCTTCCATAAATATTACAGCTCCTACATTTTCTTTACACTGACTGGGAGAAGAGCAACACAGATTATGACTTCTGGGCACCATTCTCCTGTTGCACATAAGTTATGGATATGTTTCTGCGCCTATCTCTGCTTGTCTGTCTCTAAGTTATCACATCATAATGTACCAGGAAGCCAGTATAATAGTGGTTCTTCCCTGCCCCTCCACAAGTAAACAGACTCACCGGAACTTGAAATGAGGTTACTTGGTCTAGATTCTCTGCCAGTTGCAGGTTCCACTGTCGGACATTCTCTTGCAGCTCTGCCTCATCACAGACTCCCTGTGACTTCACAAACAGAAAACATGGGTACATTCTCACTTCATGACTGACGTAAGTATTCACATAAGACTGTTCTACAAAGTTCTCAATAAAATGAACTATTTTGTATAACATAAAAAGGTGTCTGAAACTATTATGTATAAAGTATACTGTCTTGTAAAACTATTCAAAGAATGGGCTGTTTTACTAAATCAGTTATAACAAACATAGTATTATACAATTTTTGACCACTATCATTGCCCTGTTGTGTTCTTCAATGTCACATAGGCTCCTAGTCTGTTCCTCCATTTCATCCTATCCTGTGCATTCACTTCAATATCATGGCTACAATCCAGTCCAGCAGCTTTGGTCTCTCTCTTCGATGTTCATTTTAGGGTTTCTTTTGGATGTCTTTGCTTCCTTGGTCCCTTTATTTCTTATTTCAGTAGCTGTCTGGTGATTCTTTGCATATTTCGTCTCAGGATGTGTCCAGTGTAGCACCATATGCTTTGTCTTGTAACTGTTCTTACCAGTGGTTGTGTTCTTACCAGTGGTTGCCAGCCCGTCTCTCTAGCATAGTTGGCTAAACCGGATTGCGCGGTGAGCGTGTGACGAACTCCTTGTGGTCCGGTTTTACTCCCGGCGGTGGGCAGAAAGCCACATTTCTCCCAGATTTACGGTATTTAAATGGAATCAAGGCCGAAAGGTTGCGATATCCATAATACCGAGCCTAAGGGTGAACAACTCATGGCTTCTGGATACTTAAACAAACAAACAAACCAGTGGTTGCCCAAACATTTCTCTTATTTCTTCATTCGTCTCGAATTCATGCCATTTTTTTTTAATGTTCAGCACTTTCTGGAGGAATTTGTTTTAACAAGCCTTTAATGTTCATTCTAGGATTCTCTCTCATTCTCTGTATTTTTTTGTCAAAGACTAGCGGAGAAAGTAGACTGCTAAAACAAAATTATTGATAAAATACAGTGTTTTGCAAAGTGGGTAATAAAGTGTAATAAAATTGTTAATAAAACAGTTATACAAAAGTAGGCACAATCAGCTATTTTACAGATGTGCTGATAAAAGAGACAATAGAAACTAGAATGCAACTATCCAGCAAGGAGAAGGAGGGAGGGACCTACCAGGAGGGCCTGCTTGTACAACCAGCAAGGAGGAGGAGGGAGGGACCTACCAGGAGGGCCTGCTTGTACAAGTCTGGCACGCTGCTCCGAGAACTGATTCTACTGTACATGATTGGCTGAGTGAATGACGGCTCATCCATTTCATTGTGCCCCCATCTCCGAAAGCAGACCAGATCAATGAGTACATCACGGCGGAATTTCTGACGATACTCCATGGCTAGTGAAGCAGCCCTTATAACATCCTTGAGGGAAATGTCAACATATACAGTTAGTGCAATTCATTCGGAGTCAAAACATTTAAACCATTATTTACACTCAAAACATGCCACTTTTTCTGTTAAGAGCTGAAATATTTAAGCCAATATTTACAGTTGACATATGTAAAGCAATACTTAAAGATAAACAATGTAAGCCAATATTTACAGTTGACATATGTAAAGCAATACTTAAAGATAAACAATGTAAACCAATATTTACAGTTGACATGTGTAAAGCAATACTTAAAGATAAACAATGTAAACCTATATTTACAGTTGACATGTGTAAAGCAATACTTAAAGATAAACAATGTAAACCAATATTTACAGTTGACATATGTAAAGCAATACTTAAAGATAAACAATGTAAGCCAATATTTACAGTTGACATATGTAAAGCAATACTTAAAGATAAACAATGTAAGCCAATATTTACAGTTGACATGTGTAAAGCAATACTTAAAGATAAACAATGTAAACCAATATTTACAGTTGACATGTGTAAAGCAATACTTAAAGATAAACAATGTAAACCAATATTTACAGTTGAAATGTGTACATCTGCATTCTTCTTCTTCTTCACACTGACTGACTGTAAACTTCAATGGAAAGTTCTGGTTGCTTCTCCACTTCTGGACTTTAGTCTTGTTCCAGGACTTGAGTACTGTGTGCAGATCCATTTTACAGTCTGGCTTATTTGTATGCAGACACTAGTACTTGCTTCTAAGGCCAAAGCACTGCGACTTTGAAGCAAACACCACTCATTAGTTGACTTTTACAACATGCTTGTCTTACGGACATCAGCAGTTAAGAGAAAATCCCTTGTGGTTGCACTATTTGATTTACTCAGTATTACAAAGACAACACTGTGTGAAATATTTACTGTTTACCTGCTCTTTTATCATTTCAGTTTCCACACTCTAGACCCCAGCATAATGATGCTCAGTGTCAGAGGTGTCTCAGTATTAAAGGTGATTCTGGATGGCAGACCAACAAGACAAACTTCACACTGCCTGTTCAACCTGCACAGAAGTTATATGTAGGGTACACCAAAAGCTACACCGCTACAAACTCTGCTGCTATCATTGCAGGTATCTGTAGCTACTCTCTAGCAAAGACTGTTTTACACAAGGATATTACCTCAGGCAAGTCGCCATTGGCGTGGATTACCGGGTAGCTGTTGACCTTGGCAATGTCACTACAGTACAGTGAGGACCTGAGGGAGAAACCAGACAGTTGTAGAGACAGGCTCTTCTTGAATTATAACCAGGTTCCGTTCCGACTAATAGGTCATATGTCGCAAACAATTTTTTTACTGCTATTTTTATTGACACAGGTTATCACAATTGTACACTAAATAAACAAATAAAAGTCAGTTGACGTATATACAATTATTGTACATTACGTGAAGCATACATAATATGTACTATATTGTACGTACTGTAAACAAAATATAGCGTAAAGTTACTATTTTTATGATTTCCTATGTGTGGTCGTAAGTGTGGTTGATTGTAAACTGCATGGGTGGTAAGTTGAAAAGAGGGTAGTTACAGAAACATCTAATACCTGTGACTGCACAGATCAGGTGCTGAGTCAGTCTGATCACAGCGCTGGATGAATGACAATGAGGTTGCTGACTTAGACTTCCCTCTTGAGCTTAGGACAGCACTCAAAGCTCTCCATGTCTGGCAAATCGTTGCCGCCTGTTTTATTTCTTGGATGTTTGTTAGGCCCATGCTGAGCCTTCCCTGATGATGGTTCTACGCAGTCTCTCTTGGTCATCCCCGTTTTCTTTTCCCTTCCGGTGTCTCTATGAGGGCTTGATGGCGGAGTCTTGCCTTATCCATTCTAAGTGCATGGCCGATGTAGTTTCAGAGGCGCTTTCTTATAAAATGAAATACATTATCTAGATAAGTCTATTGTCTTATTTGCATAGTGGATCTGAAATATGCGGAGATTTATTATTCTTAAAAGACAACTGACAAATTCACAATTACAGCTAATTCCTGGCTCATAGCGCTGTATCGCTGGGAAACACGGACTCTCAACAAACAAAATTAAAAGGACTTGGAACCTGTTGAAATGTGTTAATGCAGAAAGTAAAGGCAAAACTGGACCCCACCCCCCCAAAAAAAAATGGACACATTCTTTCAGACGCTGGCAAAAACTGAGTGACATTTTTTTTAAACGTCAAAATCTCATTATGGCTTGGTAATAATATCTTCTTTTTTGTTAGAATTAAGCAGCTGTAAACTCTGGCCGACTATGTGTACCCATCCATTCTATAAATCTAGCTTATTTGTATGCAGACTGATAGTTCCTTGCCTCTCAGGCAGATGCACTCCGACCCAAAGGAAACGCCCCTAATTATTTTACTTTTATGACATGTTTGTGGGCGTATGGGTAAATTATTATTTTATTTTGGAGGGAAGGGGCGGGGGTGTGCCGACAATGGGGCCCAGGAACCCTTGGAGGGAAGGGGCGGGGGTGTGCCGACAATGGAGCCCAGGAACCCTTGGAGGGAAGGGGCGGGGGTGTGCCCAGGAACCCACATGGGGAGGTAAGAATATAAAACATGACCTTTCAGAGAACATTTTGACAGGAAAGAGACATACTAGGAAAACTACCTGATTTGAACATGCAATAAATTCAGAAGCAGAGAACATTTTGACAGGAAAGAGACAAGAGGACATACTAGGAAAACTACCTGATTTGAACATGCAATAAATTCCGAAGCAGAGAACAAAGCTCAGTTGAAGAGTTGCTGAAAACAGGGAGCAACGGCGCGATATGGGACAGCAGAGGGACATTTCACACCTCTTCAGACTGGGTGACCTAGTCAGTGAATGAATGAAGACTGGATAATAAGTGCATGAGATGAGCAGATAACTGTTGGCTCGATACTGACTGAAAGACCTAAGTGACGGATTGCTGGTTGGATTTTTGGCTATCCTCCAAATAACGGTTCCAAATTATGGAGGCCGAAAATATACCCTAACAGGGCCTTTGTCACATGTAAATTGCGAACCTCTTCCGGCAACTATACAGCATACCGCGAAAAAGCTTCCGCCGAGTTAAAGTCACTGCCGAGAGTATCTCTCACGCCGCGGAGCGGGACTAAACTAGATTGCTAGGACTCACGAGCAGCAGCTACCGCATCTCATGCAGCTTCCTCCATTTTATTTGCCCGTGAGTCCCAGTCATCTAGTTTAGACCTGCTCCGCGAATAGCGGCGTGGAGATACTCTTGGGGGTATGCCGTGTGGTCACTGGAAGAGGTCTGCAATTGACATGTGACTGAGGCCTTGTTAAGCTATATTTTTGGCCTCCATAATTTAGGACCGATTTTCGGAGGATAGCCTGGATATTCATTGCAAGAGTTGTCAGGATGATTGTCGATTATAGGAGGATTGTTGATTGTAGGATGATTGTCGATTGTAGGATGATTGTCAATTGTAGGGTGATTGTCGATTGTAGGATGATTGTCGACTGTATACTGATTGACAAAGGCAAACTACTGAATGTAAATTTATCTACGAAAACCACAACAGACAAAACATGCTTGGATTGTTCACCAATGTCCTGTACAGAATATACAACTAGTGAATGGTTGTGCAGTGGATGCTGATTAATTGGTTGAATAATAACTGTTAGTTTTGTTTATAGATATTGGAAGGCTGATAATCTAGTCCCTATGTGCACTGAAGAGGTTAAAATCCTGGGCTGGTATATTGCACAACCTACCTCCCTTCGCCCCTCTCAGTGGTAAACCCAATCTGGTTGTTTACGATGACGTGGACACTCCCTCCGGTCTCAAAGTGCGGAGCCTCAGCAAAACAAAATGTCTCAGCGACCACACCCTGAGGGGAACAAACACACATGATTGTTGCTGTAGCACACCTACAGGTTTTAATGTGACTGTATCTAAATCTTACAGTAACAGCCGTATGTTATTGAAAACTTTGAGTAACAGCTGTATGTTTTATAAATCTTACAGTAACAGCTGTATGTTATTGAAAACTTTCAGTAACAGCTATATGTTATTGAAATCTTTCAGTAACAGCTGTATGTTTTATAAATCTTACAGTAACAGCTGTATGTTATTGAAAACTTTCAGTAACAGCTATATGTTATTGAAATCTTTCAGTAACAGCTGTATGTTTTATAAATCTTACAGTAACAGCTGTATGTTATTGAAAACTTTCAGTAACAGCTATATGTTATTGAAATCTTTCAGTAACAGCTGTATGTCATATAAATCTTACAGTAACAGCTGTATGTTATTGAAAACTTTCAGTAACAGCCATATGTTATTGAAATCTTTCAGTAACAGCTGTATGTTTTATAAATTATACAGTAACAGCTGTATGTTATTGAAAACTTTCAGTAACAGCCAAATGTTATTTAAATCTTTCAGTAACAGCTGTATGTTTTATAAATTATACAGTAACAGCTGTATGTTATTGAAAACTTTCAGTAACAGCCATTTGTTATTTAAATCTTACAGTAACAGCAGTATGTTACTTAAATCTCACAGTAACAGGGGTATGTTATTGAAAACTTTCAGTAACAGCCATATGTTATTTAAATCTTACAGTAACAGCCATATGTTATTTAAATCTTCAAAAATTTCTCCCTAATCACATAGTTTAATTTTTCATCCTCAGAAAAGTCTGTAGGATCAACACCTCAATGATGAGAACCAAAAACCAGAACTTTCCGCTTGAGTTTACAGCTCTTGAATGCCCAAACAAAAAAACAACCAGAACTTTCCGCTTGAGTTTACAGCTCTTGAATGCCCAAACAAAAAAACAACCAGAACTTTCCGCTTGAGTTTACAGCTCTTGAATGCCCAAACAAAAAAAACAACCAGAACTTTCCGCTTGAGTTTACAGCTCTTGAATGCCCAAAAAAAAAAAAAACACACAGACAAATGGATGTTACTGCAGCGCATCCTGTATTAGAAACAACACTCCAGCTCTGTAAATAAGATTTTATAACATCTAAGCAGCAGATGTCCCTTTAGCTGAAAATTATTATATAGGAATCAACAAATGAGCTGCTATCTTTTTGTTTTCTTCTGTTTTTGGTTAGGTATCAGGTGAGCCACACAAAACAATGTGCCCTAATTTGGCAGGCCATGGGTGTAAAAAGGTTGAGAAGTGCTGGTTTAGGTCGACAAATAAATGTTAGAAAGAAATAGCCCTCACTTGTCCAGTAAAACTGGCATCTCCGTGCACCTGCAGACACAAGACACCATCTCCTGGTTTAGAGTTGGTTTCAGGAGAGTAGCTTCCCTTTTTTAACGTCTGCAGTTTGGAGCGAGCTTTTCCTGCGGCGACTGGGTTATTGGCCTTGGCAAGAAAGGAAGGTGGAAAGAACAAAGTCATCAGGTTGTCAGACAACAGCATGAAAACAACCGTGTAAATAAGATCACATCAACACAGTTAAATATAATCAAACAAATATGAGCTTGTTTTCAGAGTAATTAGTATATTTGATGATGAACTAACAAAGTAAATAATAAAATAAATGCAGTGAAATATCCTCATACTCATACAGACTTGTTTTTAATGCAATTAAAGAAATCTCATAAACCAACTAATTAATCACACACACACACACACACACACACACACATACATACACACACACACACACACACACACACAAACACAAAGTTAAAACAACTACAATCAGACACACAAACACAAAGTTAAAACAACTACAATCAGACACACAAACACAAAGTTAAAACAACTACAATCAGACACACAAACACAAAGTTAAAACAACTACAATCAGACACACAAACACAAAGTTAAAACAACTACAATCAGACACACAAACACAAAGTTAAAACAACTACAATCAGACACACAAACACAAAGTTAAAACAACTACAATCAGATACACCATACCATAACATAAACTAGCAGTCAAATGATACATGCATAAATACAGTTATACACATACAACACATAGAAAACCAAATAATACAATCACAAATACAATCATACACAGAGAAACAGTCAAACAATAAGATCACAAATACTATAACACACACATAAACAGTGAAATAAATTCAAGTAAACACATATAATCACACACAGAAACAGACAAACAACAAAACACCCACACAATAACACAAATACAGTATTTAGAGAAGCAGAAAAAAACAACACAATCACTCACATCATCAAACACATACAGTGTGACAAATACAGTGAGAACAACCACAAGTGATGGACAACACAATCACTCACATCATCAAACACATACAATGTGACAAATACAGTGAGAACAACCACAAGTGACGCAGAAAAAACGAATACAATCACTCACATCATCAAACACATACAGTGTGACAAATACAGTGGGAACAACCACAAGTGACGGACAACACCAGTGTTTCACATACTCCCACTCATCTGCTGCTGGGGCTGAGGCCTACACTCACCTCCAGATGTGATGGGTTTGGGATCAGAGACACGTGGACTTGTCGACCCTCATAGCTCAGGTCTACCGATGTATCTGTAACCCAGATACAAGGTCAAGCACAATTCATTATGGATAGTGGACAATAGGGGGTATAAAGTGGACAATACAAATTAGTGTGGACAATAGGGAGGGGGGTATAAAGTGGACAATACAAATTAGTGTGGACAATAGGGGGTATAAAGTGGACAACACAAATTAGTGTGGACAATAGGGGGTATAAAGTGGACAATAAAAATTAGCGTGGACAATAGGGAGGCATAAAGTGGACAATAGGGGGCATAAAGTAAACAATACAAATTAGTGTGGACAATCGGGGGGCATAAAGTGGACAATAGGGAGGCATAAAGTGGACAATAAAAATTAGTGTGGACAATAGGGGGGCATAAAGTGGACAATAGGGAGGCATAAAGTGGACAATACAAACTAGTGTGGACAATAGGGGGGGGGGGGGAATTGGACAATAAAAATTAGTGTGGACACTTGGGGGGGGGGGTATAAAGTGGACAACACAAATTAGTGTGGACAATAGGAGGGGGGGGGGGGTATAAAGTGGACAATAAAAATTAGCGTGGACAATAGGGAGGCATAAAGTGGCAAAAGGGGGGCATAAAGTGGACAATAGAAATTAGTGTGGACAATAGGGGGCATAAAGTGGACAATAGGGTGGCATAAAGTGGACAATAAAAATTAGTGTGGACAATAGGGGGGCATAAAGTGGACAATAGGGAGGCATAAAGTGGACAATACAAATTAGTGTGGACAATAGGGGGGCATAAAGTGGACAATACAAATCAGCGTGGGCAATTAGGGGGGGGGGGTATAAAGTGGACAATACAAATTAGTGTGGACAATAGGGGGGCATAAAGTGGACAATACAAATTAGCGTGGACAATAGGGGGCATAAAGTGGACAATACAAATTAGTGTGAACAATGGGGGGGGGGGGGGGCATAAAGTGTACAATACAAATTGGTGTGGACAACAGTGGGGTATAAAGTGGACAATGCAAATTGGTGTGGAAAATAGGGGGTATAAAGTGGACAATACAAATTAGTGTGAACAAAAGGGGGGCATAAAGTGGACAATACAAATTGCTGTGGACAAAAGGGGGGGGGGGGTATAAAGTGTACAATACAAATTGGTGTGGACAACAGTGGGGTATAAAGTGGACAATGCAAATTGGTGTGGACAATAGGGGGTATAACTCTTTCAGGCCCATGAATTTTGACAGACTTGGCCCACATTAATTTCCCTTTACAAAAATGGCAGAGGGGTGGGTGTACAAGAAAGGCTGTAGAGACTGTAATATACTTCTAATCCCTATAAAAGTATATATTTTTTAAACGAGAAATGAGTGTACATTCTGAATCTGATGATAAGTGTTTATTTAATTTTGTTATAGTTAGTGAAAAAAGAAGAATTCAGCAGATGTTAATTTTACAAGGACAACATTTCACAAAAAAATTCTTCACTTACCATGGTTTTGCAGCCACAAGAATAGTAAATATCCAAATTTGAGAACAAAACTTCAAAGTTTGTTCAATGTCCTAACATATTCTAAAGTTATGATAACTTTCTGGGTTAGTTTATCACTCATGGGCTCTTAGTTCCCACCGAGTGCTAAGCAAAATTTCAGAGAAAAAATGGCAGAAAAATGAGCCATAACACACACACTATTTACTATTCACTTTGTACAGTTATTTTCAGACTGTAGCTGCGATGATTTCAATGTAGCTTAGCCATAGTATAGTACTATCTCTTTGTTTAGAGCACTTTCCTTCTCTTACACCATAAATACGGTAGTATGGGACATTGTCTGTGTAATAAACTCGTCAGAATCGCTAGATTCCGAACAGCTGATCGCTCAGCTTCACTGGTGAAAATTCACTGTCTGAATCACTTTCCGAAAAATCTAAATTTTTATTATCATTTTCACAATTAAAAACATCTGACTGAAACAATTTCAGAGCTTCGGCCGCAGAAAGACGCATTCTGCGACCTGTTCTTGTGGTTAGAACATTGGTATTCAGTGCACTCAAACACGAACTGAGAAAATAAACTGTTAAAAAAAAAATTGATGTTTTTTTCTCTCAAATTATCCACGTGTGTTTTAGTCCAAGAAGTGAAACAAAAAGGATTTCGGTAGAGTGACTTTCCCTGAATAGGTTATTCGTACCTCCAAACATTAGAAACTAGTACGAAGGCGCATGCGAAGCAAAATGTAAGAGATACACGATTAACGATGACACCGTTGTTTGGGCAGAACGGAACTTCTCAAACTACGCTCACACCGTTGTTTGGGCCTTAAAGAGATAAAGTGGACATGGTGGATATTTGGGGATATTTTAAAAGTTTGTGGATAGTGAAGCATAAAGTCGATATGGTGGATGGTATGTGGTAGATGGTATGTGGTAGATGGTATATGGTAGATGGTATATGGTAGATGGTATATGGTAGATGGTATGTGGTAGATGGTATATGGTAGATGGTATGTGGTAGATGGTATGTGGTAGATGGTATATGGTATGTGGTAGATGGTATGTGGTAGATGGTATGTGGTAGATGGTATATGGTAGGTGGTAAATGGTAGATGGTATATAGTAGAGGACTAACAGACTTTAAGAAACTAAGATGATGAGAATAAAGAAAGATCACAGACAAAGGCTTGGTGCACAAAAAGCAAAAGCAAAAAAGATTATTAAAGAATTTACTTACATAAATGAGACAATACATCGCCAGCTGCCTTAGCACCTTCAGGGATTTCTGTGAGGCCTTTCATCTAGTGACAGATGGTAACAGAAAGTATCACACACCCAGCCAGCAGGGGAACGACTCAAGGGTGTCCCTTCAAATAATGCATATATGTTGGCATGTGTGGTTGCTAATAAGTCTAAACAAAGGAATCTATAGCCTGTGCTAGAACCTCCACAGTCTCACAATAAACTCCTGCAGAAATACAATACTTATCAAAAAACTTTCCCAAAAAACACTTCAAACAAAAAAAAACTGAACAGAGAGAAAAAAGAAACCGACAAAACACCAAAACATACCTTTCTAAAGATAATGACTGGTGGAAAGTTGAGTAGGCAGGTGAGAAAGTTGAGTCGACCTCGATGTGGCATACACATGATAACTTTCTGTACATCATCTGAAATCATGGATACAGCAAACACTGAACATAGGCTATCTCATATCTTAAACAGTAACTCAAAGTATCAGAGATACAGCCAAACTAAAACATAGGCTATCTCATATTTTAAACAGTAACTCAAAGTATAAGAGATACAGCCAAACTAAAACATAGGCTATCATATATTCTAAACATTAACACAAAGTATCAGAGATACAGCCAAACTAAAACATAGGCTATCTCATATTTTAAACAGTAACTCAAAGTATAAGAGATACAGCCAAACTAAAACATAGGCTATCATATATTCTAAACATTAACGCAAAGTATCAGAGACACAGCCAGCACTGAACATAGGCTATCTCAGATTTCAACAACTCACTACAAGGATCACATTTAGGTCTTGAGCCAGACTGAGAATAGAGCCCTAGCCCAGTTAATGTATGGACTGACTAACCCAGAACTGGTGATGTGGGCAATACTATACATGAGGCTTTTACTTTCCAAAGCTGTCTCTAGTACCAATTTTTGGGCCAGGTCATTTGGAAAAAAAATTGGTCTGGATAAGGATATGAACTTACGACCAATGGACAGTAAGAAAGCATACACTGTTGGAACACAAGACACAGTTTCACTAGCAGAACACATGACACAGTTTCACTAGCAGAACATATGACACAGTTTCACTGGCAGAACATATAACACAGTTTCACTGGCAGAACACATGACACAGTTTCACTGGCAGAACATATGACACAGTTTTACTGGCAGAACACATGACACAGTTTCACTGGCAGAACACATGACACAGTTTCACTGGCAGAACATTTGACACAGTTTCACTGCCAGAACATTTGACACAGTTTCACTGGCAGAACATATGACACAGTTTTACTGGCAGAACACATGACACAGTTTCACTGGCAGAACACATGACACAGTTTCACTGGCAGAACACATGACACAGTTTCACTGGCAGAACATTTGACACAGTTTCATTGGCAGAAAACATGACACAGTTTCACTGGCAGAAAACATGACACAGTTTCACTGGCAGAACATATGACACAATTTCACTGGCAGAACACATGACACAGTTTCCCTGGCAGAAAACATGACACAGTTTCACTGGCAGAACACATGACACAGTTTCTCTGGCAGAACACAAGACACAGTTTCACTGGCAGAACATATGACACAGTTTCACTGGCAGAAAACATGACACAGTTTCACTGGCAGAACATATGACACAGTTTTACTGGCAGAATGCATGACACTGTATCATTGCTGGAACAAATGACACCGTATTACTGCTGGAACACATGACACTATATCAATGGGAGAACACATGACATTATATCAATGGGAGAAAACACAACACAACATCACAACAGTAACAGAACTTACAGTCAGCACAGTTTCTAAAGATCTGTTCAAAGCATCCCATCATGCTTTCTCCACCCTCCCCACTGTAACGTTTGACATTGGAAAACTTAGTGCCCACAAACTGGTCAAATGCCTGCAAACAAACAAACAGCAGAAATATTTCCACATGAAACAAGAGCTCTCTTTAAAGAAAACAGGTTGTTCTTTTTCTGTGTTTCCAAGGGTGGTTGGCGAGTTGGTTACAGCTAGGCTGTGATATCTTTGCTTTCCCCCACCTCAACATTTTTTTAGAAAACTCCCAGTTAGTCACCTTTTACCACATCCATGATAAGGAAGAGTGGATCTATTCTTTTTCTCAACAAAAAGGGGGTCCCGGAACCCACATGGTGGTAAACAGTTTGATACCATACCTGTGTACCAGTGTCACAGTCTCTGGTAGAAACACAGGTGGGAGGGGGGAAACAGTTTGATACCATACCTGTGTACCAGTGTCACAGTTTCTGGTAGAAACACCCCTGGGAGGGGGGAAACAGTTTGATACCATACCTGTGTACCCATGTCATAGTATCTGGTAGAGACACAGGTGGGAGGGGGGAAACAGTTTGATACCATACCTGTGTACCCATGTCATAGTATCTGGTAGAGACACAGGTGGGAGGGGGGGAAACAGTTTGATACCATACCTGTGTACCAGTGTCACAGTTTCTGGTAGAAACACCCCTGGGAGGGGGAAACTGATACCATTTCTGTGTCCCATGTCACAGTTTCTGGTGGAAACACCCCTGGGAGGGGGAAACTGATACCATTTCTGTGTCCCATGTCAGTCTCTGGTGGAAACACTGAGGGAGATCAAGGGTCAAGTTATGCGGACTGAGATTCTTCAGAAAAGCTGCTGACTGTCCCAGAATAGACCAAATAAAAAAAGGGCATGTCAAAACTTCTCTTTCCTTCACAGCCAAGAGAGAGTTGTCACCTCGAAGGGAAAGTCCAGCTGATTCATCTGCTTACTGGCTTTAGCCTTGTATGTGTATGTATTTCTGTATGTTTGTCTGTGTGGGTGTCAGTATGTGTTTGTCTGCCTGTTTGTATTTGTGTGTGTGTGTGTGTTTGACTGTGTGTGTGTCTATGTGGCTGTATGTATGTGTCTGCATGTTTGTCTGCGTATGTGTGTGTGGTGTGTGTGTGAGCACGAATGGAAATATGTGTGTGTTTGTGTCTGTGTGTGTGTCTGTATTTTTGTCTAAGTGAGTGTGTGTGTCTCTGTGGGAGTGTCCGTGTGTGCATGTGTGTGTCTCCATGCATGACTGTATTTATGACTGTATGTTTGTATGTGTGTATGCCTGTATTACGTATGTATGTATGTATGTATGCCTGTATGTTTGTATGTATGTATGTATGTATGTATGTATGTATGTATGTATGTATGTATGTATGTATGTATGTATGTATGTATGTATGTATGTATGTATGCCTGTGTGTATGCCTGTATGCATGTTTGGTTGTATGTATGTGTGTATGTATGTATGCATGTATGTATGTATGTATGTAATGTATGCATGCATGTATGTGTGTGAGTGAGTGGGTGAGCGTGTGTATGTGGATGTATGTATGCACGCGCGGGTTTTTGCATGCACTTTACAACTCATGCTTTTGTGTTCTTTTATAATATTCATAATATGCATATCATCATATGATCATAACATGCTTTATCAGTAAAATACAACTGCTGTGCGAAAGATGGTTGACTAGAAGGGCAGAATGTAAGACGGACCTGCGTGCCCAATTTGTGACCCTTTGAAAAAAAAGTTTGTTCGTTCGTAGCCTTGTTCCAGGAGAGCAGTTTTGTGTGTACACATTCGTTTGACAGATCTGGCTCTTTTGTACGCAGACTGCTGGATCTTTGCCTCTCAGTCACATGCTATCTGACTGAAGGAAATGCTAATTCCTATCTATGCTGGCCAGACATACTTGTTTCTAGGATGCAGGTGAAGGTTTAGCTAGCTCCTCTGCATCCCACTCTACTGGTCCCGTAGCCAATAGATATACGTACAGTCCCTGAAGCCGTGTCAGCTTCCAATGCGGGAAGCGCTGACCAGAACAAAATCCCACATCTATGACTTTCCCAAAGGCAAATATACTAAACTTGTCAAATAACTTATATGTGGCAGATGTCTTCAGCTCTTTTAGTCACAGAGGGACCTAGCTAATGTCCAAGAGAGACGACAGTGAGATGATTCAACAGAAGGGTATAGTACTTCCACAGGGATCTAACAGATAATCGTTGTAGGAGACACATGTTTGATCTTGGGTTGTTGACTCCTTGACTAAACGCGAGATATAAAACACAAATAAAGTATTGACTGGTACACATAACACAAAAATTGAATCTAATCACAAATAGTTCATCATTTCAGTCAGATAGAGTTAATACACTGGCTAAATCTAGGACGTAGAATCACCAATGATATCTTGACTGTTTCAGCTGAAGAAAAGTAAACCCCACATGCCGCTTCCCTGGGAACACACACAAGTTAAGCAGGAGGAAGATGAATGCAGCAAGATAACATCAGAGATTCTACAACAGCAAGGCACCTCACTGGCCAAAGAAACACTGTTGGTCCAGGAGAGAATCTTCCCACAACACACCACAGCACAATGAGCAGGTCACTAGCAATGACAATATAAGACTAGTTCAGCTGATGAGACATTATTTACATACCACACATACACAAGACTAGTTCAGCTGGTGAGACATTATTTACATACCACACATACACAAGACTAGTTCAGCTGATGAGACATTATTTACATACCACACATACACAAGACTAGTTCAGCTGATGAGACATTATTTACATACCACACATACACAAGACTAGTTCAGCTGGTGAGACATTATTTACATACCACACATACACAAGACTAGTTCAGCTGATGAGACATTATTTACATACCACACATACACCAGACTAGTTCAGCTGATGAGACATTATTTACATACCACACATACACAAGACTAGTTCAGCTGGTGAGACATTATTTACATACCACACATACACAAGACTAGTTCAGCTGATGAGACATTATTTACATTCCACACATACACCAGACTAGTTCAGCTGATGAGACATTATTTACATACCACACATACACCAGACTAGTTCAGCTGATGAGACATTATTTACATACCACACATACACAAGACTAGTTCAGCTGGTGAGACATTATTTACATACCACACATACACAAGACTAGTTCAGCTGGTGAGACATTATTTACATACCACACATACACCAGACTAGTTCAGCTGATGAGACATTATTTACATACCACACATACACCAGACTAGTTCAGCTGATGAGACATTATTTACATACCACAGATACACAAGACTAGTTCAGCTGATGAGACATTATTTACATACCACACATACACAAGACTAGTTCAGCTGATGAGACATTATTTACATACCACACATACACAAGACTAGTTCAGCTGATGAGACATTATTTACATACCACACATACACAAGACTAGTTCAGCTGATGAGACATTATTTACATTCCACACATGCACAAAACTAGTTATGCTGGTGAAACATTATTTACACACCACATTTACACAAGACTAGTTCAGCTGATGAGACATTATTTACATACCACACATACACAAGACTAGTTCAGCTGGTGAAACATTATTTACATACCACACATTCACAAGACTAGTTCAGCTGGTGAAACATTATTTACATACCACAGATACACAAGACTAGTTCAGCTGGTGAAACATTATTTACATACCACACATACACAAGACTAGTTCAGCTGGTGAAACATTATTTACATACCACAGATACACAAGACTAGTTCAGCTGATGAGACATTATTTACATACCACACATACACAAGACTAGTTCAGTTGGTGAGACATTATTTACATACCACACATACACAAGACTAGTTCAGCTGGTAGGACATTATTTACATACCACACATACACAGGTAAAAAGTAAGTAAAGGACCCTTTTCCATGCATTTAGGCGTATAGGGCATATAGGGCTAGACCCATATATTTATAGACCAATCGGCACAAGATAGGTGATGTGATCAGCATCACACTGGCCGCCTTTACTTTCCCAGGACTGCACCCAGTACCCACTCAAGGCTGGGTCGACCTGGGAGCCAAGGTCATTTTTTAAAAAAGTCTGGCTCCGACATATACAGGACGGTCACCAAAATATTCACACTAACATACCTGGCATTGCTGTCACATACCTGGCATCTCAACAGAAGTTTAGCCAAACTGGCCTTTCTGTCATCCGAAATCTGCTGCTGCTCTCTGGTCTCAAACTTGTCAGCAAACCAGCTCCTTTCTTCCTGGGTCTTCAAAATACAAAGACATTCACTGGTGACTATTTACACAATTCAGAACTTTACACTCAGGGCACAGTATGAGAAAACAACATTCATTAAATAATATGGGCAGTCTGACCACTTCAATGGCAAAAAATGCTACCTTCTTCTTCTTCTTTTTCAGGCAGACTGGCTGTAAACTCCAGCAGAAGGTTCTTGTTGTTCATCTTTTTTTTTTCTGGATTCAGCCTGGTTCCAGAATCTGAGTTTTGCGTGGATATCCATTTCTAGAGGCCTCAGAGATGTGGTTGTACAGAAGAATGCTTAGAATACCTTGGACAGCCAAAAAGAGCAACCAAGAGGTTTTGAAAGATGCGGGAGCCCGAAGGCAACTTATCACAGACATCAGAAGGAGACAGTCATCGTTTTTTGGCCATGTTATGAGAAGAGGGAAAATAGAACATGTTGTGACCACTGGAAAGATCTGTGAAAGGAGGGATAGAGGAAGACAACGAGAGAAGATGCTTGACAGTCTTGTTGCATGGCATGGAGGTGTGTCGGCACACGAACTGATACATGCTGCAGGAGATCACAGATTATGGAGAGGCATGATCGCCCACGCCAGTCAGCAAAACACCTGATGACGATGATCCATTTACAGATCTGGTTATCTATATGCAGACTGTTGGTTCTTCAACTCTCAGGCAGATGCACTCCAACTATGAAGGAAACATCCCTAATTAGTGTACTCTCACGATAGTTTATTGTTTAATTGTATCGGGTACACAGGTGTAACCCTTAAGTGCTCTGTTCTACTTCCAACTCAAGCCTGAGTGAAGAATCTCAGCGCAGTGCACCACCAGCGAGGATCCTGCAATATTGAATAGAGTTGCTAGGGCTGCCTCTTCTGTTTGATCCTTCCACTAACAACAGTGTTCAAATATCTGCTTAAGTAACTAACAAGTCAAGACTGATCCTCATTTCCAAGTGACTCAGCATACTAGGCAAATCCAAAGACGTACATGTGTTTTGTCCATTAACAAAATCGCTATGGTATTTGCACCTTTTGGCCGACACATCCCACTTCTGCAGGCTTGTGTTGATCGGGTCAGCCTTCCTGGGTCCTTGGCATATGATGCTAGCTGAACATTTTTATAAACTAATGAGTACATAATGGGTGATTTCAACACAGCCCTAGCTGCCTTTACTTTGCAGGACATTTCCTGGGGGCCACATTAGAGCAGTCGATAGGAAACTCACTTTAAAATCCAGATGCGATTTGCTGCAGCCTACGGCCGGTGTTCGAAACCGGGCGGTTTCCAAAGTTTACCCAGCCTCTAGGAAAGAGGTACCAGAGTTAACACTCTGGGGTAAATAGAGAAACGTCGCTGTAGCTACGGAGTTGCGTGCGGACGGTGACACAGGCGGACAGTTTCTTATCAGCTGTCCGTACTAGTGGCAGAGCACTAATGGTTTATAACTGTCTGCAATGACGCTGGTTCACATCCCGGACTTTACCTTTCACCTTTCCTGGGGACCCATTGAGGTTGAGTCAGCTGGGAGCCCAGGACAATGTTTAAAAGTCTACCTTGACAGGGATTTGAAGTTGTGATAACTAGGAGAAAGGCATGACGGCTGGCCAGTTTCCTCAGATAGTAGCAGAAGTTATGAAAGAAATACACCATAACTTAATGTCCAAGACAAAGGCAGCACGGTTAAACAAGTGATTCGGTACAGCTGTCTTGGAACAAGTGAACTGGTACAACTGTCAAAGAAAACAAGTGAGTCAGTACAATTGTCTTGGAACATGTGACTCAGTACAGCTGTCTTACAACAAGTGATTCAGTACAGCTGTCTTACAATAAGTGAGTCAGTACAGCTGTCTTAGAACAACTGTTTCGGAAGAAGTGAGTCAGTACAACTGTCTTAGAACAAGTTGTTGTTTGGCTATAAATTATGGTGGAAATACCTGGTTGTTCGTCCATTTCTGGACTTTGGATTTGTTGAAGGACCTGAGTTTTGTGTGTGCATCTGTTTTGCAGATCTGACTTATTTGTATGCAGACTGTTGGTTCCTGTCTCTCCGGCAGATGCACTCCGACTTAAAAGGAAGCTCCCAGTTAGTCGACTCTAACGACATGCTTGCTGGGGAGGCAGTGGGTCTGTTCTTGTTTTCCCCACAATGGGGCCCTGAACACACATGGGGTATCTTAGAACAAGTGTCAGTACAGCTGTCTTAGAACAAGTGTCAGTACAGCTGTCTTAGAACAAGTGTCAGTACAGCTGTCTTAGAACAAGTGTCAGTACAGCTGTCTTAGAACAAGTGCCAGTACAGCTGTCTTAGAACAAGTGTCAGTACAGCTGTCTTAGAACAAGTGCCAGTACAGCTGTCTTAGAACAAGTGTCAGTACAACTGTCTTAGAACTAGTGTCAGTACAGCTGTCTTAGAACATGTGCCAGTACAGCTGTCTTAGAACAAGTGTCAGTACAGCTGTCTTAGAACAAGTGTCAGTACAGCTGTCTTAGAACAAGTGCCAGTACAGCTGTCTTAGAACAAGTGTCAGTACAACTGTCTTAGAACAAGTGTCAGTACAGCTGTCTTAGAACAAGTGTCAGTACAGCTGTCTTAGAACAAGTGTCAGTACAGCTGTCTTAGAACAAGTGCCAGTACAGCTGTCTTAGAACAAGTGCCAGTACAGCTGTCTTAGAACAAGTGTCAGTACAACTGTCTTAGAACAAGTGTCAGTACAGCTGTCTTAGAACAAGTGTCAGTACAGCTGTCTTAGAACAAGTGCCAGTACAGCTGTCTTAGAACAAGTGTCAGTACAGCTGTCTTAGAACAAGTGTCAGTACAGCTGTCTTAGAACAAGTGTCAGTACAGCTGTCTTAGAACAAGTGTCAGTACAGCTGTCTTAGAACAAGTGCCAGTACAGCTGTCTTAGAACAAGTGTCAGTACAACTGTCTTAGAACTAGTGTCAGTACAGCTGTCTTAGAACATGTGCCAGTACAGCTGTCTTAGAACTAGTGTCAGTACAGCTGTCTTAGAACAAGTGTCAATACAGCTGTCTTAGAACAAGTGTCAGTACAACTGTCTTAGAACAAGTGTCAGTACAGCTGTCTTAGAACATGTGTCAGTACAGCTGTCTTAGAACATGTGTCAGTACAGCTGTCTCAGAACATGTGTCAGTACAGCTGTCTTAGAACAAGTGCCAGTACAGCTGTCTTAGAACAAGTAAATCAGTTGCAACAAGTGAGTCGGTACAACTGTCTTGGAACAAATGAGTTGGCAGAACTGTTTTAGAAGAGATGAGTCGGTACAACTGTCTTGGAACAAATGAGTCGGTAGAACTGTTTTAGAACAAGTGAGTCGGTACAACTGTCTTGGAACAAATAAGTCGGCAGAACTGTTTCAGAACAGATGAGTCTGTACAACTGTCTTGGAACAAATGAGTTGGCAGAACTGTTTTAGAACAAGTGAGTCGGTACAACTGTCTTGGAACAAATGAGTTGGTACAACTGTCTTAGAACAAATGAGTCGGTACAACTGCCTGGGAACAAGCAATTCGGAAGAACTGTCTTGGAACTATCCCAGCATAGGAGTGAAGATACCTTGTAGAGATCAGAACAAAAATCAAAACAGCAAAAGAAGCCTTGGCAAGATGCAAAACAAACAGCAGTAACTACTAAAATAAGAAAAAGCACTCAAATGCTGCAACAGAACCACATATTGTCACATATATCTGATTAGGCAAGAAATACAAATCTACCGGCAGATGCTGAAATTCAACAGCCAGGGAGCCACAATACAGGTGGGATAACTTCTGCACCAGGTCAGAGACTGACATCTGCGAGTCTGTTCCACTGATTATTCCTAAAGTTGGTACCAGGGTAGAGTCTCCATCTGTGACTCCGTACAGTCCAAGGTTGAGTTCTGGTACTGGCCTAGACAATAAGATCACTGAATTGAAATCATGCATCACTATACCTGGCTAGTATACAACCATAGAGTCTCCATATAAATCTACAGGGATCTGCTCAAATCCACATTAAGGTGAATTTTAAACCAAGAAAAAAATGTACCTGGACTTCCAATCTGGCAGCAGTAACTGGTCTGGGAGGTCAGGGACACTAGCATGATACTGAGCCTAATAGAGAGCAACTGATATGATACTAACACTTTAATGCTCTTTCAGTACCACAGCCCAATTACATTAGTTTATAAGTCAACAAATGATGTGTTCCTTGGTGGCAAAAGAGTTAAACACAATGCAGATTTTAAGGAAAGGAAACTGTCCCTTCCCTACTCATTAGTTATGGACAGATTATCCTGACTGCACATGGAATTATTCAGTCCATAAATGCACGGATCCCCTCTTTAGCTGCTCATGACACCAGTTCTGTGCTGGTTTCTTATTCTTCTTTGGCTTCCTCCATACTGCTCTTGTCTGGTCACATCCCTTTTAACATGTTGTTCTTGCGGTCTGGTCATGGTTGCAAATTCACAGTCATCACTGGGTTCTTGCAAACCTCTTACTGTTAGTAGAGCAGCTTGTCCGTCTTCCATAGAAGCTTTCCTGCAAGCCTATCAACTTGCTTATTTCCTTGCACTTCTGCGGGCACAAATATGAAACTGAAATGTGTCAGCCCCTTCCGTTTTGGAGACTCCCACCACTGTCTTTGGACTCAGCCAATCTCTATCTTCCCAAGCATACTCAGAGAGTCACTGAGAAAGCATTCACGGGGAAAAGGTCTGTCTCCAGCCATGTTACTGCTTTTTTCTACTTCACATAAATTGTGCAGGCCTACCTGCCAGTTCTGAGGTCAGATTTCTGTACTAGTTTTTTCTGGACATTTTGGGATATACTGTCAGGTTGTGGCTCATTACAAGATATTCTCTATGGAAGCCAGTGGCCGGGCAGGTGGACTAGGTGATCAGATCTTGTTTCTTCAGTGTGTGTGGATCCTTTCCAGGATGGTGTGAGTGGTAACTGTGGTAGTGATGATGATGATGATGATGGGGGGAATTGGGGGTGGGGGGGGGGAGGGGGAGGGCTCAGCTCCTTCAGTGTCTCAGACCCCCGAAATACTTATATTTCTCTGAATAAAGGTTCATCCACTGCTGTCTTTATAAATATTTGACAGTGAGGCCCTTATCTGCGGTGACTCTCATACTACTGTTCGAATGCCATGACATCTTTTGTGTGTGTGTGACCGCTCACCAAGGAAATGTAACTTTAGTACTCCAGGATTGCATTATCGTCATCAGCATTCACAAACATCTCATTTGCTGAGCTGAGCCCTCTTAAAAAAATACTTGAATTTTCAACATTTCATAACATTTCATTTCAATAAATATTTTTTAATTCTCAAAACGATTTAGCTGCTAACAGTGGTGATGATGTTGATGATGATAATGATGATGGTGATGATGATGATGATAAGGGCGATAAAGATGGCCTTGGTGAGATAACAGTGGCGGTTTTGCTGGTGTTACCCATGGTGGCAGTGGTGATTTTTATGATGATGATGCTTACAAATCTATATTGATGATGGTGATAGTAGTGATGATGTTCACAAATCTATTTTAGACTTTGGTAACATCTGACAGTGACAGGGAGCGAACCTGATCGGCTGCAGGCCAAGAGGATCCAGGTTTGCCAGCTTATGTCCGTGGGTTCTGAAGGCATCCACAAGCTGCACAATGTTGGCATATTTCAGCCGATTGTTCAGCTCTTCTTGTGTGTCTGTGAACAAGTCAGTGTCACTGTCAGGTTATCTCATCTACACTCTCCTGTAAGAGACAGGTCTGTCAATGTTGGGTGGTCAAACTACAGTTCCCCTTTAGAGACAATACTGTCAGTTTGAGAAATTCTAAACAACACTTTTCTGTCTTCTTCTTCTTAGCATTCAGTAGCTGTGAGCTCAGGCAGAAAGTTCAGGTTGTCTGTCCCCTTCAACTATGGTCTTGTTTCAGAACTTTTGCATGAACATGATTTTACAGATCTGGCCTGATAGTATGAATACTGTTTTTCAGGCAGGTGCACTCCAACTTCAAAGGGAACACCCACTCTAAGTGGTATTTGATGACATGCTTGTTAGGTGGCTGCAGGTCTATTTGTGGAGCCAAAATGGGCCCCTGGAACACACACAGGACCTGACTTTTAGAGAAAGTACTGTCAACAGGACATATACTGATGATGATGGATGTAAAGACATGCTGGAGTTTAATGGAAAAACTGCTTAAGATTAGTCTAAAGGTGTGCACTTTTTCAATATGGTACAGGGATCAGCCAAGTAGCAGATTCTACACTGGAAAAGCAAAGGAGTCATGCTAGAAGGTTCAGTACGGCAGACTTCTACCTGATGTTAGCACTGGTCAAGAACATCCTAGAAGTCACCTTTCTACTCCCATTCACTTAGTTCTTAATAGTGGGTGCACAAGCAATAGTAGTAGATCCAAGAGTCAGGAAGAAGAAGAAAAAGAAGAAGAAGAAGAAGAAAAAGAAGAAGAAGAAAAAGACACAACGTAAGAAAAACAAATAATAATAAAATAATAATAATAATATAAAAAAGAAGAAGAAGAAGAAGAAGAAGAAGAAGAAGAAGAAGAAGAAGAAGAAGAAGAAGAAGAAGAAGAAGAAGAAGAGGCTGCCCGATCTTCCCCCTCCCCCCATATTAGGGAGGCGAAACAAATACCCTAACAGGACCTCAATTCTATGCAAAATGCGGAGTTCCTGCCGAGGAACAAATCACAGCAAAATTAGGATTGGCTCTGAATAACAGGCCAATATTATCGAGGGCAAACAAATGCTCTAACAGGGTCCCAGCGATATGTTAATTGTGGACCTGTTTCTGCAACTATGCCACACCGCGCGGATTGGGGGCTAAACTAGATGGCTGGGACTCATGAGCAGCAGCTACCGCATCTCTTTCAATTTCCTCCTTTTAATTTGCTGGTGAGTCCCAGGCATCTAGTTTAGATTCCCATCCGTGCCGCTACACACAGCGTGGGGGATACTGTCGGCGGTGAGTTTAACTGCGTTTTGCGCATGCCGATAAGTGTGAGGACAACAACTACGCTAATTTGCATCAGAGCGTGTGGTCTCCCCACCATGTCACTATTATCAACTGCTAGTATTGTCTGCAGAAACGCTCGAAATCGCAAATGGTCGCTATTATCGTCTGCTACTATCGTCTGCAGTGTTGTGTGTTGAGTGTCTTGAAATTGTCAAGTAATCCTAGTTTTGCCGTGATGTGTTCGTCGCAGGAAGTCCGCATTTTACACACGACTGAGGCTCTGTTAGGATATTTGTTTGGCCGCCATAATATGGTGGGGAGGTGGGGAGGAGATCGAAGAAGAAGACAAGTATTGTCAGTATTTGTAAAAAGACATGTACTGTCCACGATAACATGTGATGGATTCCTATACCATCAGACAAAGAGACCAGTATGGTTTCCGACTTACATGTGAGCTGCAGACTGTGTTCATCAGACGCCAAGGGGCGAGGTTTGAATCCGTACACCCCCTCTCTGACATGATAACAAGCAACTCCTAGAAACTTGGACTTCTGCACCAGTCGCCAGACTCGAAGGTCTCTGCACAAAGCAAACATTGCATCCACAAACCAACAAACTAAATAGCAACTGAATTAGGTGTATCACATGTGCTCAAAGAATACAAGACAGAAACATCAATCAGCATCTCAAAAACAAGTTTGTCACAAGTTGATGGTTGTCGCCTGCTGCTGGAAGTTTGGCGTGAGTTGTTGTTCTTGTCAAGGGACACTATTCTCGTTGACTTATATGTGGGTTGTCTAATTATCGATTCGTTTCTTTCTTTATACGTGTAATTTTGTTTCTTTTTATCCGCTTTCCTTCCAGTTTCTTTTCACAGTTATCATAAGTGACCATCTTTGTTATGCTTGTCTTCTTCTTCTTTTTTTTCTCCTTCTCCTTTTTTAAGTTTCAATATTAACAGGGTCACCTGTACTGAGTTTTTCTTTAGTTATTGTCCGCCGCAACATTTTTTTCCTAGCATAATCTTAAAATAAGACCCATTTTTGTATAAATCACCACCCGTCTGTTGTCTTGGGCCCTAATATAACCCAGAGGTTGAACGGAGTTTCCGGGTGATTTTATTCCGAATGGTTGGCAATTTGTGCCACCTGGTGTTTGTGGCTTGATGCGCAGTCCTGATGGGTTTAAAACTCACTCACAACATAGACGTTACTGAAACATGCACTGTTAAGTGTTGTTCTCTTGCTTCCACAGGGATCTATTGGCCACATTGGTACTGGTAAACAGTGCACACGAAACAGCGAACAGAACCAGTCAGTCAGTCTGCTTGTTTTTATCCCAAGACGCCGATACTGCATAGGAAAAAAAATATAAAGCCTGCTAAATACCTGCCACTTTATAAGTGGATAACCATTATCATTGTGGTCGACGTGGTCGTCCTCAAATGCCTTGCCAACTGGCACGGGCTACCATACCTCTGCACAACTCGCGACCTCCACCGGCATTGACGCGTCCATGCTATGGGGCACAGCAGCTAAATCAAATTTTCAGAAAGTCTCAAAGATCCAAAACCACACTCTCCGTATTATGACAGGGGCAATGCGCTCCACGCCCATATCAGATATGGAAACAATTACTGGTCTCCGTAATCTGGAAGATAGGAGAGACACAAAGCTCCTCACCCAGCTCTCCAAATACCACCACTGTCAAGAAGAACCCATGCACAGCCGACTGCAGAAACCCCAGAAGGCTAAACTCAAGAGAACCTGTTTTTTTTTTTACGAACGCAAATGCCAAGCTCGTTGACCTCAAACTCCCTCCCATAATACCAAATGTGCCACATGAACCTCACAACAACTGCCCTCCTTGGCCTCCACATGAACCTCACAACAACTGCCCTCCTTGGCCTCCACATGAACCTCACAACAACTGCCCTGCTTGGCCTCCACATGAACCTCACAACAACTGCCCTGCTTGGCCTCCACATGAACCTCACAACAACTGCCCTGCTTGGCCTCCACATGAACCTCACAACAACTGCCCTGCTTGGCCTCCACATGAACCTCACAACAACTGCCCTGCTTGGCCTAGGGATAGACTGCCAACAGTTAGAACCTCTGTAACAGGATTCTCCTCCTATTCACCAGTGAGCATCACTTATATGAAATCAACTACAGAAGAGATGGTTCAGCCAAGAGAGCAGTAAGAGACGGAGGAGGAGGAATATACATAGAATGCCCAAATGGGTTAAAAATCAACCAGGCTGTACCAACAGGTTCATATTCCTCCAATTACAGAGCAGAGGCAGAAGCACTTCTAGCAGCATGTTCTTTCCTGAATGGACAACAGCACAGCAAATATAGCAGAGTGGTCTTTCTGACTGATGCTATGTCAGTTCTACAAGCAATTGTTAACCCAAAAGACACTCAGTTTGTAGACTTGACACAACAGCTGATTTACTTAGGCTCTTCAGTAGAACAATCTGTACTGCAGTGGATTCCAGGTCACTGTGGCTTGGAAGGCAATGAAATAGCCGACAGATTGGCCAGAAGCGGCAGTGACATGGTACAACCAAATAGCGACTTAACCCACCAAGAGATGAAAACACTAATACAAGCTAGTATCCAAGAAAGGTGGCTGGATACCCACACCAGATTTTCTACCCAAGACTCACTTCATCGCCTCTCTAGAGAGGGACAGTGTATTATATTCAGACTAAGGACAGGGCACAACAGATTTCGTCAACATATGTTCAAGTTTTTTTGGTGTAGGAAATACGGAGACGTGTCCCTGCAGCGTGACACCCGAAAATGCTGAGCATGTGCTCCAACACTGTCAACTGTATGCTGACAACAGAGACGCAATCTGGCCTGTTCCAACCACACTGAAGACAAAACTGTATGGTACACGAGAGGATATGGATTGCACGATAGCTTTCATAAAGGCTACCGGCCTCCTGATATAAGTTTTCTGACAGAAGGATCGAAGAAGAAGAAGAAGAACTACAGAAGGAGAGCTGAACAAACTTTATCCACACCAGAGTTGGATTAGTGTGTATACAGATGGTTCAGGAAAGAGACGGTATAGAAGGAATATACATAGAATGCCCAAATGGTTTAAAAATCAACCAGGCTGTACCAATAGGCTCATATTCTTCCAATTACAGAGCAAAGGCAGAAGCACTTCTGATGGCATGTTCTTTCCTGAATGGACAACAGCTCAGCAAATATAGCAAATACAGTCTTTCTGACTGATGATATGTCAGTTCTACAAGCAATTGTTAACCCAAAAGACACTCAGTTTGTAGACTTGACACAACAGCTGATTTACTTAGGCTCTTCGGTAGAACAATCTGTACTGCAGTGGATTCCAGGTCACTGTGGCTTGGAAGGCAATGACATAGCCGACAGATTGACCAGAAGCGGCAGTGACATGATACAACCAAATAGCGACTCAACCCACCAAGAGACGAGAACATAGAATTCAATCTAGTATCCAAGAAAGGTGGCTGGATACACACACCAGATTCTCTTTCCCAAAACTCGCTTCATCGCCTCTCTAGAGAGAGACAGTGTATTATATTCAGACTAAGGACTGGGCACAACAGACTTCGTCAACATACGTTCAAATGTATAGGTGTAGGAAACATGGAGACGTGTCCCTGCAGCATGGCACCCGAAAATGCTGAAAATGTGCTTCAACACTGTCAACTGTATGCTGACAACAGAGACGCAATCTGGCCTGTTCCAAACACAATAAAGACAAAACTGTATGATACACGAAAGGATATGGATTGCACGATAGCTTTCATGAAAGCTACCAGCCTCCTGATATGTTTTCTGACAGAAGGATTGAAGAAAAAGAAGATAAGGGGCAAATATGTCTAGTGAAGAACCTAAACAAACTCTACTGATGTACCAGGAATTTCCCGACATTATTGGGCGGGACCATGTCGAGCCGTCATTCAACAAACATTTTCATTTACATATTAAGTTGTTCATGTATTAGAGTGGGTTATCATCACGTGCCGTGCCGGTACGCCATCACCAGAATCACAGATCAGTGCAATGTTTTTGTCTCGCCCCATCCATCTGGCCAGGCCATGCAAGTATGTATCTCTTTGCCGCCCGCTTGCTGTCTTTCCATCAACCTTGCCAGTAGTTAACAAGCTCTCGAGTCATTTCCTTCCCATAACATGCCCAGAATATATTAACTGTCGACATGTTGTTGTTGTGATAAGTTTACCACTTTCATCTGACTCGATGAAGACTTCTTTGTCTGTTTTTAATTTCTTTGTTTAAAACAAAAATCCTTGCATGATATTCTTTGCATTCTTCTCAGAAACCAAATCTTTGCCGCAAGCAAATGCTTTTCAGCTTATCTACTCAATGTCCATCATGTTTCATCCGGTTGAATAGTGAAATGTACAAAAGAGGAAGGGGAGAGGGCGGCCTGTGTATTTTCATTTGGACAAAGTTGCAAAGACAATTCAGTCACTGATCGACCTCTGACTACTGAACCCCAAACAAAATTCTGGAAGATCACCAGTATACACACCAACAACTAAAGTAGCAGGTCGGGTGGGTTCAATAATTTGGAGGAGTTGACATTTCAGTCTCTATTTTTAAATTTATTAATTATCATTGAATTTCGATAACAAAGGTTTAAAACTTGACTAGCTTCATGTATCTGAGGTCCTAAATGTGAACTGTTTACGTGGTATGTGGTAAATTAAGCGTTCCCAATATAAAAATAGACAGGAAAAGCTTTACTCAAGTAACACTACCCGAGACGTCAACGAGCCGGCTTTGAACTTTCAATGGCTGTGGTAATATGAGAATATCCTGTTAGAAGCTGGTAACCCAGTAGTCTTGACAATAACCAGATCTGATTCAAAATCTCGATGTTATGTTAATACCGGGGCCTTCAGGCAATCACAGGATCTGCTTCTAAAATCTTGATTTTTATGTCAATACTCTGGTGCTTATACAATCACCAGATCTGATTCTAAAATCTTGATGTGATGTCAGACCTGCAGTTTTCCCGCAATTTTTGTCGGCACAGTTGTTTTGTTTAACACCAGCCTGCAGATGTGACGCTGGCTAAGCTTACCGCATAGCAGGCACAAATGTAAAATAGTGTTCGATAAACTCTCTTATCGTTATTTGGTCCTCGAAACAGATTGTTTTTCGTCTCAGCCTATATGTGAGTTCGAGTCAATCTCATCAAATGACATCAGAATGCGCCTACAAGGTTGGGCGCTAATGTCGTTGTAATAATATAGAAATCATAGAGTTCCTCAGCCGTTTTTTGCAGCCCCTAGTCGTTGGTTTCCTCTCACACATCAAAGATACTAACCATGCTATCTGTCTTTGAATCGATCCGGTTCACCTCTTCTTCCAGGTACCACACCTTCACCTTTGATGTTACCTCCCTCTACACCTCTATTCCACATTCCGAGTGGCTCCAGGCTTTGCGGTTCTTTCTAGATCAGAGAGTCAGTCCTGCCATAGCCATTGACCCCTTGATTCGTCTGGCTGAATTGGTGCTCAGTTTAAACTCTTTCGAGTTTAATGGCTGCTATTTCAACCAGATC